GCCAAACCGGACAGTCTCTACGTAAAAGAATAAATGGACACAAATCAGATGTCAAGAATTATAACATTCAAAAACAAGTCGGAGTACACTTCAATCTCTCTGGTCACTCGATTACAGACCTAAAAGTCACAATATTACAACAAAAAAAACTTCAAAAACAGACTCCAGCAAGAGACTGCTGAATTGAAATTAATTTGCAAACTAGACACCATTAAATTAGGCTTGAATAAAGACTGGGAGTGGATGTGTTATTACACAAAGTAAAACTATTTTCCCATGTTTATTTTTCCCCCCTACTGTTCCTCACTGTTCTTGTCAACTGCTGGAAATGGCCCACCTTGATTATCACTACAAAAGGTTTTTTTCCTCTCCTGCTGGTAATAGCTCACCTTACCTGATAACTCTTGTTACAGCGTGAAGTGAGCTGAAGCTCACAAAAGCTTATGCTCAAATACATTTGTTAGTCTCTAAGGTGCCACAAGTACTCCTTTCCTCTCTTGTATGTCTCTTCAGCTTCTCTTGCTTTACTTCCATTTATTCTCTTACTTATCTCTTCTGGGCGGTCTTTTAACTTCCTCGTCTTTGTCTACATATTCTTGTGGCATAATAACTCTTTTATTGCTCTCATTCTTGTTGAATTCTCTTCATTAATTCTTCCTTCTCTTCAACAAGCCTCCATCTATTTAGTTAGAGCCATTCTTTCTTAGACCTTCTCATCCCCGCTGTAGTAATGGCTGCATCCACACTTGCTTCTTTGAAAAACTGCCATTGTTCTTCTATGTTCTCCATCAGTGATGTTAGATCTTCAGATTCTATCACTAAGTTGCAGCTTAAAATGTGCCTTCACAGCTGGATCTAACAACTTTCTAGCATCATGCATACCTTCTGCATTGCCTGGTGTTAGCTTCTTTATTTTTATTGTCCCAATAACAAGATGGTCACTTCCAACAGCAGCACTCATTTAAACCCTGGCATTGAACAGTGATCTTCTCCAGCACTTATTAATGATCAAGCTGTCTCTGGGTGAAGCCATCATTTGATTTCAGTTTCAGTTTATGTCTTTCCTTACGTGGAAATAGCATACCCCCAATGCAGAAGTCAACATAATGTTCTCCCCATTGTTAGTCTGTCCTGGGATGCCATGTCTGCCCATAATGTGTTCATACCATAATGTGTTCATATCCAATATTATCATCATCACCAATTTGTGCATTTAGATCTTCCCTGAGGATAACAATATCATATTTGCCAAGGATGCTGTGCAATCTTTCAGAGAAACAGTTGAACCCAGGGGTTGGCAACCTTCGGCCCATGGCCCATCAGAGTAATCCGCTGGTGGGCCGAAAGACAGTTTGTTTACGTTGACCGTCCGCAGGCATGGCTCCCCGCAGCTTCCAGTAGCCGCAGTTCACCATTCCCGGCCAATGGGAGCCGAGGGAAGTGACAGACTCCTCCTGCTCCTGTTGCTATTCTTCCCCATGCTACTGAAGTTGTGGTTCCTCAGAAGGCTGAAGAAGCTTCTCTTCTATCCTAGGAGTCCTAGGCATGCTGGGGTCCTTTTGCGACAAGGCATTATACTGGATGGTAATTACATGGGTCTTCCAAGGCCCAGTACTGCCACTAAAAGAACTCATAGCCCCTCACTACCGGGCTGCAGCAGGAAGGGTACCAATGAAAATAGGGGTAATATTCCATCACACAGGAGTAGTTAGAAATGCTGGAAACTCCACCCCCGCAAGCAGTGCCTCAGGGTATAGTCCAGGACCGGGTGTCCATCGTAGTCCTTTTCTGACTCTGAGGAGTTGATCATGGAGAGGGAGTCCTTAATACCAGAGGAAATGGTGTTGATCTGCCTCTACTTGTTGATAGTAACAGAGACAGTCTGGCTTGACCCCTACTTGTGGATGAGGATGAGTATCATAACAAAATAGTACCGACTGAAGTTCTGGGGCTGGGCATTGTGGTCTGGAGTGGAGAGATGACTCCAGTTCCGGGAGCAGTAGAAGGTCTTCCAGAGTGGAGCAGTGAATCATAGTTGATGGAGTCATTTTCATAACTCGGGTCGTTGAAGTAGAGGGTGCCAGATCTGGCAGTACCAGCTAGAATTTTGGTGCCAAAGAAGCAGTCCCATTACCAGAGTGTGCTCCAGTTTTCCCTTTTGAAATCTTGATCTGGTGCTTCTCAGCGCCAGATGGTCCCGTTCCAGAGCACAAGGCTCCTGATGACTTGGTTTGGGACTTTCCCTCATACCTGGAAGGCTGCTATTCTTTCTTCCTCATAACACAGTCATTTACAGACTTGAAGTGGGATTGAGAACATTCCCTCACAACCAGTTAGGGCCTGAGTCTGCAAGCCTTCCACATCCAAACCTCCCACTTACTTCAAATAAACTTTTGCACATGAAGCAGCTGCAGGACTGGGACTTAATATCTCTACTCAAAATTACTTATCCATCTCTTTATTTTCATGCAATTTCTCTGCTAGAGAAGAGAGAGCAAGCCAAGTGTATTCACTACACACCTCCACTGAAACACCATTTCTGAAATATCTATCCATATGCAGCTGTTTGGGGAGGGTTTGGCATACACTACACTTGAGAGATTTCAGCAAAGGCAAGTATCCTTCCTTTCTTTTGAGTACATAAGGCAGGTATGTGAGGCTAACATGAACTATTTTCTAGTTCACCAATCAATTCAAAACAAACTTCAATAGCATATAGCTCAAAGAAACAGATCAGGATGTTCTCCTAGGACCTAGCCTATTGTAAGAGAATGTCAACAAAATTCTGCTCTTACCTATGGTTCTAAGGGAGTGTCTGCCTCCAAATCTTCCTTTCTTGGTGCCATTGTGATAATTGAGAGGACTCACACAGTTACTTTTTTAAATGCCAAGCTAAAATTTACTTCACTCATAAGGTGCAAAATGACTGGGTTACTGGTTATTAAAAATGTAGATACCACTACCATAGGCATCTTAAAATATTATACATGAGACATATGGGAAAGAAAAGGATACACAGTACAAAATAAAATAGACTAAATTAATGACAATAAAATAGAGTAAATTAAAATGGATGATTTTAGATAAACCACTAAACATCAGAGTTATTCCAAAGCACTGGATTATTAAAAGGAAAGAAATGACTTACCCAGAACATATTCTGTATTATGTCATTGGACTGGTATACTCTAACAATACACGTGGCAATACAATTTTGATTCACTAGCCACCATAAGAGGCACATTTTGTAGGAGTGAAAAACAACAGTGAAAGAAAAATGCCTACCAATGTTGAAAAGAAGCATGTTTCTGTAAAGTTCAGGGGCCACCATGGAGTCATGGCAGGGATTAATTTCATCCTAGAATCCTAGCTAGAACTGATTCCACTTGAATGCAAAAATCCCATCAGGTGAAAGGATTTCTTGAAAAAGCCTGCAGTAGTGTCAGATAATTACAGCCCTTAGGGGCTAGTTTAGCAGTCCTTTCACACTTATCACTCCCACTGACACCACTGAAGGACTACAAGATAAAAATCATATTGTCCTTAAAATAATTAGAATTTTGACTGGATTCCTGTATCCACTTGAAATGAACTCTGGCTGCTCAGACACAGAAAACATGTTCAAGAACAGTTCATTCTTGTAAAAAGATTAACCCCCAAGATGCTGCCAGCATAAGTGTCGGCTTGGATATGCTGTGCATCTGTCTAAAGTGCAAGTTGGGCCTGTCCAGTGTCTAGTCTGATTTGTGCACTCAAGGCTTTTCAGAAAACTATTTTCCTTCCTGAGTCAACATTTTTTACTTAATCACAACAGCTCTTCTCCCTTATCCTTTTTCTCTGTCCCTTTACAATGTGATTATATATCATCTATATCTCTCTGTGTTCGCATAAATGTATTCATGAATTCCAAACCTGAGGTCCTCAATTTACATGAAAATCTCTATGTAAACTTAGTGCCAGTCCTATGAAGCTAATCATACAGGTTTACATTGCAGGTTTAAAAGAAAAAGCACATCCAACTGTTGTGTAAATTTGTTAGGGACACTGGTAAAGAAAAAAAAATCCCATCATTGCAAACTAGAATTAATATTTTTAAACTGCTAAAAATCAGCCAACCGAGGCCGAATTGTAGCATTTAGCCACTGGCCTGAGTAAGAGCACCACAGAGATTTTAGGGAGACATTGAACCACCCTCTCTCTCTGATCTGCTTGATACAAGGGAGACTGTAGGTTGCACCATGTTTTAGAAGTGCGTCCAGTCTGGTCTGAGATGATGTGGAAGGAGAGCAGGGTCATGTACCCCTTTTGTGTCCCTGTGGACAAGATGAACCACAAGAGGAACAGTCCTTAAGTTCCTCCAAGCAGAGAGACTGCAAAAGAGTTTATCTCTAATCCAGGCCATGCAAGGTGGGAAAGGCTTCTTTCAACTCCCTGCCTCACACTCTCTGCATCCTCCTAAGGGCCAGGCACAATCTGGCCTTTAATTCATGTGCATATTGTTACTGATCAGGTGTTTCAGAAAGCTAGATTCCAAGGTGTATTTAAACGTGTGTACTAGAAAGCATTCAGATAACACTATGGTGGTTTAAAAAAAAGTGGTAAATGGGTGGCATTTGCATAGCATGTCTCTTGACTCTAGAGACAGAAATCAAAGTTTCTACAAATTGACATATTATTATTTGTATTACCGTAGCACCTAGGAGCCCTAGTCATGGACAGGACTGCACTCTGCTAACTGCTGTACAAACAGAACAAATACAGTCAATCTTACTGCCCTGCAGTTGGATTATACGATAAGAATTTGGTTCACTAATAGGGTTAGTTTTTTAAAGCTACTGCATGAGGTCTTCACTAGCTAAGTGGAGTGAATATGCATCTCTCTGCCAGCTGTAATTAATTGTAATAACTAAAACAGTACAGCGTATCCCTTTTTCCCAGCAAATAAGACTGAAGAGTGGAGTATCTGGTACAGCTGAGTACAAACATGAATAAACGCTTACCGGTGGTCCGGGAGGTCCGAGTGGTCCTTTGCTAAATTCGGAACAGGAGCAAGAATGAGGAAGAGATGGGCAACTTTCCTCATCTCTCTGAGAAGAGAGCAAAATAGTAAGTCTGTATTCAAAATATAAATTCAACAGCTGAGAATTTATAGATCAAGACAACAAATATTGAAAGGAAAATTCAAAAGCTCCTAAATAATTTAGGAGCATGAGACCCATTGAATTTCAATCGGACTCTTGCTCCAAAGACAATTAGGTCCTTTTGAAAATCCCACCTATTGATTTCATGAGGAAAATTGCAAAAGTATTTGGTCTTGATGCAAGAAAAAAAAAGGTACGATGGTAGTTTTAAAAAAAGGGATTCTTACCAAGGCAGGAAGTTCGCAGCATTTGTCTCTATTGGCCCAGGAGGTGGTACAAACAATGTCAAACATCTGTAACTGGAACTGTTTGGAAAAAAAGGAATAAAATTCAACGTGTCTGTTAGAAGTTCAGTGAAAAGGGGAGCCACTGCAAAGGGGGGGGCCATTGATCAGGGCACACAGGAGACTGATGACAGAGACACGTGAGTAGATTTAAAGCAGCAGGTCACAACAATACCAACTTTAATATAAAAATGGGGGGAGGGGAGTGTGGTTGACCACCCTGTCCAAAATACCAGGCTTTAATTGGGACTACTATGGGCTTGAATGGCATCATGCCCACTCCTGCTTCTGAATTCCCGATTCAGCCCCATGCTGCAACCCACCACCCTCCCCCCTCAAGGGGGAATGAGGCTACAATCAAGAAGGAGCTCTGTTTGTACAAACATTCTTTTTGCGAATACAGACTAACACGGCTGCTACTCTGAAACCTGTAAAAACTAAATACTTCCTCTGACCTCACAGGTCCCATGCTCAGATTTACTCTGGAACCTGTTCCCCTGAAGCCTTTTACTTGCACTGCACACCTGCCACAAGTTATGACAATATTTAGTGACATTTATTACCACTTCTAGTTTTATTTTATTTTTTAAATTAACTCTTTTCAATCCTTATTATCCCCAGCTACCAGGGCTCAGGATACCATGAGAAAAGCAGCAACAACAACAAAATACAACACCAGACATCTTGCCAAAAACACACACAAAGAGGGAAAAATTCCTTCCTGACCCACTAAAATGATTGGGTTAAACTTACTGCAAGCCTGGAAACCCAGCTCTAATGGCTACCCCATCTATATGGCAAAGGGGTTGGGACTGCTTTCAGAACCAAGAATGGCTGATGTGTGTCCAGGAGTGCTTAACACATGAGAGGGTGGGTTTGGTGGGGCCATTTGGCTTCCTTACCTCCGCGAATTGGCCAATGGGGGTTAAAGGAGGTGGAACTTCTGCTCCACTCTCCCCAGCCCAAGCCCCACTCTACAGTGTTCTGGGTGGGGAGACAGGAAAAAGGAAGGGGAAAGTGGTAACAGAGAGCACACTGGCCTCCAACCAGGACCCCAGAAGGTGGCCATTCCCCTGCCAGCCCAATCAAACACCTCACCTCTCTAGCTAAGTCGGGAAGAGGCAATCTTAAATGGGCTTGCACACCAGGATATAGCCTAAATACAAAAGTTCGCCACACCACAATACATTTGAAAATGGTACAGAAAATGCTGATTTAATACAGAAGTCATCGACTGTGTAAAATGATGAAGATACTGGAAAAATATATAAGAGAAAGTAAATGAACTGTAGAAACAGAATGAAAACCCTTCGTTAAATGCAAAGATAAGTCTCAGAAAGGTTCCTCGTGAAGATGATACTATTTCTTCTCACCAACAAATCCTGTTCTTTTTTTAAATTTTCTTTCCTTGTGTGATCATACAGTAGTGGAAAACAAAAAGGGTCCCGATGGCACAAGAATGGAGTTTAGAAATGTCACACTGTGTCATCAATAATGAATCAGTGCACAGACTGACAAATAATATTGTTCATAAAAATTGCAATCCAAGTCTAGATACAATGGTCTAAAATTGAGTATTCCTTTCACTACTCCCTAAGGGCCCAGTTCTGTGGGCATTTGCCCATATGGGTGGCTTTGCTCACCTGATTGGTCCTACTAAAATCTCACATGGCCGGTAGCTCATGTGCATGGCTCTTAGCAGACGTTCACATGAATAGCCCCATGGACTTCAACAAAAGTACTCACTTCAGTAAAGGTAAGTGTGTTTGTAAGCATCTGATGGACCAGGACCTAAGTTTTAAAGTTGAAATACTTTTATATGTTGCAGAAACCTCGTGCTACTGCTACCTATTAATTTCAACCAGACACATTATTTAAAGGTTTCACTGACATTGTTTCATTGCCAGTACGGAGATTGGGTCGAACTATGATTTCTTTGTGAATGGAAAGATTTACTTAAAACTAAATCATATCGAAGGGTACTAAAATGAACTCTGTGTGTGTGTGTATGTGTGTGTGTGTGTGTGTGTGTGCGTGCGTGTGTTTGAGATTCATACACACATACACACGCCACTTCTTATATATCACATATTATACTCTCTCCTCTACATATGCAAACACATTCTTTCATTTTCTCCAGATTAAACAATCCATAAATCCACAGTGATAAAATATTTTCTTGTAAAATAAGGAATAAGTAGAAACAGTTATCTGAATTGCTTTATTGTGTTCATTTAAATACTGAATGAGTCAGTATTCTGATTTTAAAATGTTACGTATGTGGGTTGATTCTTCTGATTCAAGCTAAATTACTTAACAAAGCTTTCCTTGCTGCTGTTAAACATTTATTCATAGCTCTCTGCATTCATAGCATTTTAGCCTCCCAAAGCTCCGATCCTGCAAGCAGAGCCATGGAGACAAGAGTCTGCCTGTGCTGAACTCAGTGAAGGATTGCAGCCTAAAGTTGCTTTAGATCAGATAACCCTATTGCAATTATCTTTTTACAATCCATATACATTGACACACAGAGTAAATATAGAAAATGCATAGCATATAGCAGTTGCAAGGTGTTAGGTGAACAAACAACAGGCTAGGGCCGAAATGAACAGTCCAGTTCATTCAGTCCCACCGGAGGGCTCAATTATATGACAGCTTACAAAGCTCCAGGATACTATTCTAAGAGCTGGTCACAGAAACGTCAATGAAACCATATTCTGTAGAAATATGCGGTTATTTCAAAATGCTTAAAAATTGAGTCAATTTCACTGGAATTTTATTTAAGGAAAAAACAGGGAGAAAAGTTCTGACAAGATGTTTTGACATTTTCAGAATGAAAGCTTTGATTTTTTGTTTTGAATTTTTTAAATTTTATATTATATTGTGTATTATACAATACATTTTTAAAAGATGAAATTAGAACAAAACATTTAGATTTTGCTGATACAAAATGTTTTGATCAACCTGAAACTAACATGTTTTGAGATTTCTTTTGTGGACAATTTCAAATTTTTCAATTTTTGTTCCAATTTAGAATTAAATCAAATTTTGAAATCCCTAAATCCTGTGCAAAACCAACTAGTCCACAGCTGTAACCAGACATTCTCATTGTTCATGTGTAACACTGACAGACCCCCGTCGTTGGCGGGTGGGATCAACCTGGGGACCTTTGAAGCTTAGTGCATGAGCCTCTACTGCATAAACTAAAAGACAACTGGCTGTTAGCTAAGGCTGTAGAGCAGACTCATTAATCTCTTTCTCTCTCTCTAAGTGGTCTCGGTGCCACTAGATGGGACAGAGCACCACACCCAGGAGGTGAGTGGGTTACACATGCACAAGGTTTTACTACAGTAGTTACTGTACTGTTACTGTATCTGTAACATATACAGTAAATTAATCTTGGCTCTATTTCAGTAATGCTGACACTTGAATGTGTTGCTTATTTTAATGGTCAAAGCTCCAGAGTGTTTAATACTTTGCTATTTTTTAGGATTTGGCTCAAAATCGTCCAGGGTCAGTTTAGTCTTCCTAATGCTGGATTCTCTTGAATTAGTGCCACCATTTTCCTCTTATTGGCAAAGGAAAACAAAAGTATTATTAATTTGTTATGGGTGGAGATTTCAAAAGTGCTGACGTGACTTAGGCACATACGTTCCATTGGCTATCAATGGAACTTGTGCTCTTAAATCAATTTGACACTCCTGAGAATTCTACTCTAATTCATAAGACCTAGTTCCTTCACATAAGGTGAGGCTTCAGCATTATGAGGCACTTACCTAGCATGCATTGCCATAGAAACATTTGAGAGTTTCTCCTCACAATACTCCTCTGATGTGGGGAAGTATTATTATCCCCATTTTACACTGAGGAACTGAGGTAGAGCGAGACAAAGGGCTTGTCTTCACTACCAGGGTAAGTCAACACAAGTTACGCTACTCCAGCTACGTGAATAACGTAGCTGGAGTTGATGTAGCTTAGGTCAACTTACCATGGTGTTTTTACCATGCTGCGTTGATGGGATATGCTCTCCCGTCAACTTACCTTAATCTTCTCGGAGAAATGGAATACCGGAGTTGACTAGAGAGTGCCCTGATGTTGACTGTCAATGAAGACACGCTCTAAGGCTCAGATTTTCAAAGGTATTTAGGTGCCTAACTTCCATTGATTTAAACTGAAAATGGGACTGAGGTATCTAAATACCCTTGATCTAGATCTAAGTGACTTGCCCAAACTCACAGTCTTCTGAGTCCCAGTCCAGTGCATTTAACCACAAGGCCAACCTTCCTCTCTTAATAGGACTGCTTAGATAACTGCTACTCAGCATGAAGAAGAGGGTGAGACCTGGACCTTTAAAAACTGGTGATTGGACGTTTTCTTGCTGTTGTCTACAGGGGCATATATACACATATAAACACACACATTAGGGACCAATTAGATAATATTAATAAGAAAAGGAATTATGTGTTGAGCTGAATGATTACAGTCTTCTGTAAGTTGCCATGTTTTCCATTTGAACACAACTAAATTTTTCAGTGAGTGGGTTGCTTGTTGAATGACTTATCTTTTATAGATTTCTAGATTCCAACAAAAGCCACCATTTCTTTCCCTACAAAGACCTCTTTAATTCCAAACTTTTCTGAGTTTGCCTTTGTCTGTTACTACTGGAATGTGGCCACAAAGGTTGTTCTGTTTAATTGTCTTTAGAGGCAAGATATTCAGTAATCATCATCCATAAGCTTGAAGCCTAAAGACTCTTTTTTCCCCCACAGAAATCTATTCTTTGGGTAAATATATTTTTGACTGGACTGAATTTTTAAATACAATCAGAAGTGATAAATTTTAAATACGAACCTCAGTCCCATTCAAACCAAGCCTTGGGTTCAAGGTCAAGACAGTTCAAAGAGAATGCACTGAGTTGATTATACAGCTGATAAGTTGATATACTTCCATGCCCCACAAACTTTCCCCTCCAACAACTAAATCCAACTGTAGAAGACAAATGGTGAAATCCTGGCACCACTGAAGCCAATAGTAAAACTCATATTGATTTAAAAGGGCCAGGACCTCACCCAAAGGGAATGTCCATTTCAGAAGATTTGGACAGATACGGATAAAACTTAGATATAAATCAATTATTTAAAAATGACTCCCTCCCCAGGTCATTTAAAAAAAATAATTTGCAATGGAGAAAAGCAGATTAAAAATATATGTAAACATCTGCTCAATTTAAATTGGGATGAGAACCTAACAACCAAGAACATTCAGCTTCTGGGATCCCTACTGTTACCCTTAATGAAGAAGTATTAGTATCAATACTTATTAATTGAAAACATCCAAGGACTCTGCATATATGTTAAGGTTGGCATGGAGCAAGACCTAGTGGGAATCAGACACAGAGGGCCAGATCCTCAGCCAGCGTAAATCAGTGGAGTTCCATTGGCGTCAAGGCAGCTATGCTGATTTACACCAGCTGAGGATCAGGTCCAGAACCAGGAAGCTAGCTAAAAGTCAGACCTGCCTGCCTTTGGATTAAAATGCCTTGTAGAACTTGTTCTGTTCTTAGTAGATGGAAATTTTGATTCTATACTTGTGTCTGATTTGAGAATGTCACAATTTTATGCCAGCATGGAGTGGAACTACCCACCCACTCCGCCTCAGAGCACTAAGCCCCAAATGGACCCCTCCTGCCCAGCCACATGGGCTGAGAGATGAAGCAGTAACACCTCCAGGGGGCAGAACCATCCCTGCAACCCTGAGATCCTGCAGACTCCAATTGCACCTTCCCAAACCTCGGTTACAATGACTCCAGAGTGGTAGTGGCTGGGTGGGGGAATCTTTACTGCCTCAGAAACCCTGACGATGTCAACAGTCTGGACTCTGAGCTGTTTTGTGGGATAAGAAGATTGATTACTGTGTTTGGGAAAGCAAGATCCCTGAGCAGGGGGTCTTGTGACAGGTAATCTCCAGAAGCACCTTCACAGTCCTGCCTACGTGACATCAGAGAGCAAAGGAATGCCTGTACTCTTGCACCTGACATCGGCAGGGACCCATTCCTTCCCCCTGGACACCAGCAGAGACAATGGGAGATTGCTCAAGGCTCTGGTAGCCGCTCAGCTCTGCGTGGGGGCAGGCACCACAAAGGATGATTTAGTTGGGGATTGGTCCTGCTTTGAGCAGGGGATTGGACTAGATGACCTCCTGAGGTCCCTTCCAACCCTGATATTCTATGATTCTAAAGAGAAGGGGAAGTGAGTGGAGGGAAGGACCCAATCTACTTCTTCAGATTCTGGAAGATCATTTATATTTTTAAGTACTTGAATGTTTACTATTTTTAAAGGAGCTAGGAATGCTGGGAAAGGCGCCCATGGAGACAGTCTGTGTAAAACCAAAGCATTTATATAAAATTAATAGGAAGCAAGCCTAAGGCCAGGCAAACATTAAAGGACACGGGGGATTATACACACAAGGATGTTCAGAATGATCACTGATAATCATGTTTAAATGATTTGGGACCCACAAGTTATGCATATTGTTAACTTGTGTAATGAGGGTTATTTCGGGCAACAACCATCCCTTCCTGCACAGTACCTTCCACAGGGGGACTCACTTCTAAATGTGTGTGTGAGTGAAAAATCTTAGTTGTGGAGATCATTAATCAAAATGGTTTTGCCTAGATTGAAGTTTATAACAGGTTTTCACAGAATTTCTAAAACATTGTAACTCTGTTGTGTCCTAGCTCAGCTCATCCTGTTTCCGCTAAAACCACAAATTTGTGGATATTGCATGCTCAACTTCAAGAATTCTATTATGGTTTAAAAATGGCCTTTGTTTCACTTACTGGTGCAGAGTTGTCCCTTTGTCCTCGGGATCTGACCATTCTTCCTAGAACTTCTATCCCATCAGAAGTAATATTCCCTGCTGCATTAATTGTCTTCTCACTCACTTGCTTGCAGTCAACAATAATTTTGGCTGTAGTCTTGCTGATAACAACATGTAACTAGGCAAAAGTAAAGATATTCAAATACACAGAGAGGAGACTAAGGAATATGGGTTACCAGACACAGTGAGCATTTTCAAAATGAGTTGATGTTATGTTAGCTAGTGGAGCTGAGCAAATAATACATAGCAGATAATCCATTCAATGAATTAAGCCTCTTTTTCTGCCTATGGAATCTCTGTGAGCAGGTGGCCATCTTCTCACCCCGGTGCAAAGGGCCAATACAAGGATTATTCGCCATCTAAGTCCCACTGAGCCCTTGATTTTTGTGCTACTTAGTGGTGCGCAGGCCTTTTCTGAGCCTGTCGCACAGGACTGTCTTTCACCCAAAATGTTTTGCAGATTTACAAAAGACAAATGGACTCTACCAAAAATAGTAGTAAAATTTACTAAATTTGGATGAAATTGTCAAATAAAATCAGTGTGAAAGTTTTACATTACAAGATCAAAATCCCCTAGTGAGTCACGGAACAGGAAAGCACAGGAAGTAGCAGCACAAGCCTCCCCACACTGCCTCGAGAGCTGCGTTATCTTTCACCTTGCCGTCCAACGTTAACGGGCCTTGAGACAGCTGGGCAGTACTCAGCACACAGGATTGCTCCAGTCACAACCCATCCTGCACCTTCCACACACACAGCCCACCTTGAGGCACCATCTGTGCCAGGAGCTTTTTGGGGGAAGAGGTGCGCAAAGCTGGCAGAGCAGTGGGGAAGACTCTCTGTGCTGGGAGTATCACCTGGGAGGGAGGGGCAGTAGCCACACAATAACTTTGTAGCCACTTTGCTCAGACCTAGCTGGCACAAAATGATTGCAAGGCACCCACGCTTGTGCCTTTCAAACATAACTAGGCCAGGGGAATCAGCCGAGATATACGTGCTTTTTTTCCTAATGAAAGATTTGAGCCCCAGAAATAAAAGTGAATAATTAAAGGGATTTATTTACTCCTATGTGCAGTACAACCCCATCTTAATACGTCATGTGTGTCTTCATTTACAGACTTTTAGGAACATGGTAACTATTAGAACTTAGCCAGAACACCAAGGCTACTACCACTATTCTTATGGAAGTGCCAGGAGATCTTTAATGACTATGAAAGGATCATCCTTGTGCATCTCTACTATACATATAGAATTGGTCAAAAACGGCCAATTATTTTTTGCAGAAAATTTTAAAAACTGCATTTTTCCTTTTTCAGTGAAACTTTCCAGTTTTCAAATGAAAAGCCATTTATTGTCTAAATCACTTTTCGACCGATTCTAAACCACTGAATTTGACCAATTTTAAAATATAGGTAGAAACAGAAGTGAATAGATAATAATGAAGAATGAGACCATGATTGATATTACCAGCAACACCAATAAAACAAATCCTTTACATACATGAACCTATTATTGCCAAATTGTTCTCTTAACAGAGTTTGGTAGATGACCTGTAAGCTGTAAAATACAAGAAATCACTGACAAAAGGGGAATGTATACAAGAAATCCTCAAAATGTGAAAAAGGGAACTCCAAAACCTTTGTTCTGTATGCTTAAAATGCATTTTTCTGTTAGTATAACTAACCTTATGGAAACTTCCGTAGAATATTTTCTTTATTTCAGGGCCTTCAAAAGTAACAGTTTGAAAATCCCCTTTGTAGTCATAATTAAAGAAAATCAGAGTTTTACCATCATCTGTACAACGAGAGAGAGAGAGAGAAAATCTCAATGTGAGAGGAAAAAACAGGTGCATCATTATTTGTAAGAGCCAACACTGTTCTTAGTAACAGACGACAAAACTTTCAAGACAGTCCCTGCCCTAAAAACCTTACAGTCTACAGAGTTATCATTTGTATTTTATGTTCCGCAAACTGAAAATCATGCAGCTATTTATTCTGGTTAAGGAAAGGAAAAGCTGTGTTATTAGTACTTTCTAAATCAATGCTTTATCGCTACAATGTATAGTGCCTCTGATACATCATATTTGCAGCTACACCGTTATGTAGCCACTGGAGTCAGTTGGAATTCTTCACTGGAAGCAGCTACAGAATTATACCCCTGGAATAAGTCTTCTCCGAGACTTGGATTTTCAAAAGAACATACAAGAGTTAGGTGTAGAGCTGTGCAGAGGATGAGAATTTTGTTTTATGAAAAAGATTTTGAAACCTGACTTTGTTCCAAATTGCAACATAAACTGAAAATTTTGAAATTCCCCATAAAAGAAATGTAAAAAAAAAAAAATGGCCTCAGGTTGATCAAAATTTTCAATTTTCAATTTTGATTTTTTAAATGTTGTATTATATTATAATATGCTATAACATAATGCAAAAAAGAGAAATATGGTTTCAAAATGAAAAATCAAAACGTTTCATTCTGAAAACGTGAAAACAGTATGTTTTGATATTGTCAGAACTTTTTTCTTGCTTTTCTTCCAAAACAAAACTCAGACAAAACTGACCTAATTTTGCCAAGAGTTTGGATTTGGATGGAATTGCATATTATGATGAAATATAGTTCTGTCAAAGTTTCTCCAGTTAACTCTAGTTAGGTGCCCAACTACCACTGAAATTCTGTTAGGGTCCTTTGAAAACCCCATTCCAACTGTCCCATAGATGTAACCCAGATGAAAGGTGCAAGCAGAGCTCTGTGACCAGATGATATTCAATATCCTCACTGATTTCAGCCTAGTCTATCAAAGAAGATGTTTTGAATTGATTTGCAAAAAGCACTAAAAGCCTATCACATTCTGCTAGCCTCTACTACAAGGCACCAGGTGTTTCTATGAAGTCATGAAAGCATTCTTGTTTTGTATCTATAGCTAGAGTTGGGTTTATAGCTAGAGTCTATAGCATTTACAGAGTTTATAGTGAGAACTGGGTTACTTCTTGACTACAATCTTAATCACGGACCTGAGATCAGCACACACAATGAGGAATGCTACAGTGTCTTTCATAATCATCATACAAGGTTTCTAACTTTCATACATTCATGCTGTATCTGACTGTCAATTGTGGCACCTGGCAACATATTGGTTAGACCTGTAAGGTATGTCTATACTGCAATTAGACACCCACGGCTGGCCCATGCCATGTGACTTAGGCTAGTGGGGCTCGGGCTAAGGGTCTGTTTAACTGTTGAGAGGTAGACATTCAGGCTCAGGCTGGAGCCTGGGGTGTAGGACCTTGAGAGGTGGGAGGGTCCCAGAGCTTGGGCTGCAGCCCAAACCCAAACATCTACACAGTAATTAAACAGCCCCTTAGCCTGAGCCCCATGAGCCCAAGTCAGCTGGCACAGGCCAACCATGGGTGTCTAATTGCAATATAGATATCCCCTAAGAGACCTGGCTTCAATTCCCTGCTCCACCACAGATTTCCTATGTAATCTTGGGAAAGTCACCTGAGCCCAGATTTTTAAAGGTATTTAGGCACTGCAATGCCCAGTGTTGTACTGCCTAACTGATTTAGGAGACTAAGTCTGATTTTCAAAAGTGATTTATAGAGCTTAAATGTCCTAAGTGCCTAAATCCCTTTGAAAATCAGACAGGCTCTAAATCAGCTAGGCATTGCAATTCTGAGCCCAGCAATGTCTAAATATCTTTAAAAATGTGGGCCTTATATTTTCTAAGAAAGAATGTTCCTGATATTTTCATTTTCAAATATTTGGGATGTGCCCCTATACTCTGGTGATGGGAGTAATATAAATAATTAAATAATAATAATGCCTCGTTCTTTCCATCAGTAGATCTCTAAGCACTTTACATCATTATCCCAGTTTTACAGATGGGGAATCTGAGACACAGAGATGTGACGTGACTTTCCCAAGGTCACTCAGAAGGCCAGTGGCAGAGCCAGAATAGTCCTATGGTTTTCCGACTCCTAGTCCTGTGCTCTATCCACTAGGAAACACTGCCTTGAGAAATATCCTGATCTCATTGGCATACATCAAAAAGTAATTCTATTACATCCCTGATCCAGTGCCAACTGAAATCAATGTGAGTTTTCAAAGTAACTTGGGAGGATTCAAATTTCAGTTTCACCTATGTAAATTCACAGTTACTCCAGATTTTCACCAGTAACTAAAATCCAAATCTGAACAACTGACTCCAGCTCAGATTAATATATGATTCTATCTATAGAAAATCCATTGGAGACCCACAGCTTCAATATGTTGATAATTATTTTATTAATACATTCTTTATTTAAACCATCATCAATGCCTAGTTTCAGCATTATTTTTAATCACACATCCCAAGGGGACAAAAAAGCACGCCATAAGATATAAAATACCTACTGTCCAAAATAACTCCAACAAGTGGCTCATATTTTTCATTTAAAATCTCCCACAGAGCAAATGGCTCCTGGGGTGTGTCAGGGAGTATACGGAATAGAAAAGTAATGGTGTAGTCTGAAGGCAGCCCCTCTGGGTGCAAGTATCTGTAACAAAAAGAATATTCTGTGCACTGAAGTAATCACAGTAAAGCTGATTTAAAAAGCATTCTTTATTACTTTGGACTTGTCTTTTGAAATCAAGATCATGCAGCCATATGAGACAGGCATCATTACACTTAGTAGAATCTACTCAACCATGATATAAGTTAGAACAATGCTAACCTGGGGATTTTTCCAAATATTTTAATTATAAACTTGATGGTGCTTTACATTTTTGAAGTGATAATTAAAATAACAACGTAGAACAGAGATTAAAAACTGCAACTAAAAAAGAGTTTCATTTTAGAAACTGAGGGCCTAATCCTGAGTTCAATGGGAGTTGAAGGTATTTATGATCAAGCCATGAATTATATTAAAAGCTACATTTTTTAAATGCATCCATTTGTGAGATTTTTGATACTATTAAATAAATGGACACAAGTCTGACATCGGGAATCATAACATGCAAAAACTGGCAGGAGAACACTTCAACCTATCTGGCCACTCAGTAAAAGAATTAAGGGTGGCAATTCTGCAACAGAAAACTTCAAAAACAGACTCCAACGAGAAACTGCTGAGCTTGAATTCATATGCAAACTAGATACCATTAACTTGGGTTTGAATAGAGACTGGGAGAGGCTGGGTCATTACACATATTGAATCTATTTCCCCACGTTAAGTATCCTCACACCTTCTTGTCAACTGTCTAAATGGGCCATCTTGATTATCACTACAAAAGTTTTTTTTCTCCCGCTGATAATAGCTCATCTTAATTAATTAGCCTCTTATAGTTTGTATGGCAAATTCCACCTTCTCTGTATGTATATATATATCTTCTTAGTATATGTTCCATTCAATGCATCCGATGAAGTGGGCTGTAGCCCACGAAAGCTTATGCTCTAATAAATTTGTTAGTCTCTAAGGTGCCACAAGTACTACTGGTTTGGTTTTTTTTGCGGATACAGACTAACACGGCTGCTACTCTGAAACCTTAAATTTAGTATGTGATGAAAACATAAATGAGTTGGAAGACCCATTATAATGGACCTTTCCTTTCTAGTTCAATGTCCTTTAAACCATTGGTAGATAAGCAACTAACTTGTGACAGAGACTATTTTGGGAACTTTTATAATTATATTTAGAATGTATTTTATAAATATAGAAGCCAAAATTTTAAACAGTCCAGTCAAAATGGACTTTACATATAAAATTGAAATCTACTGATAGCTAGAAATAGGCAGATACTTTTTGGTAGGTAGTTTATTTGCCAAAAAAATGCATTCATCAGTCGAAGAAAACTATTCATGAATTCGGGTAGAACTTGGCAAATAGTTTCAGCTGACTAAAAAAAAAATTCAAAGAAGTTGAAATAGTTCATTTTGACATTTTTGAAAGGAAATGTTTTGATGTCTTGTTTTGAAATGACATTTCATTTCTAAATTTAGTTAGATTTAAAAAAAAAAACTAAAAAGGGTAAAACTCGCCCAAAAATGTAAAAAAAAAAAAAAGTCATTTGAGTTTTAATGCAAAATTATTATTCTTTTTGAGTTTTTAGTTTAATTGAGAACCCCCCCTGCCCCCCCCCAAAATCAGTTTTGGTTAACCCACAATGAATTTTCTTTTGCCATTTGCAGTTTGGCCATCAAACCAAAAAATCAGTTTTTCACTCAGCTCTTTTGAAAGCCTCCCAGAATTTTTTCCAGAAGAGCAGGGATGTTCATAATAGAAGAGATGTTTGTTATTTTATTTCATTTCCTAAAGCTTGGGTTTGTTATTCTACACTCTAAGCTTTTATTTAAGCTCTGTTTGACCAATCTTGAGCAGGGACAAAAGAAAAATGAGAGGTCCAGGATTAATGCACTAGCTGGCTCTAAAGTGGAAATATGAATTATGAGTCTGATTTGCATAACATGTATAGATGCCTTATGTGGGGGGAAAAGTTACTGATAAGTCCAACTTCCCACTGGTCCCAGTGCTACTTTGGAAATTGTGTGCTTTTGGATACCGTGCTTATTTTTGGAAGAAAACAGCATAAAAATTGCATTCAATAATCATTATAACCTGTACAATTCACATATGGGATGCATTAGTACATTCTCTCTGTGTATGTGTGTGCACAATTCTTAGGCAAAGTCCTGCTCTTAGAACCACTCTCTGAAGCCCTTACCAGCAACATGTTTTCTATTGTGTATTCAGCACTCAAACCCCAGGCAGATTTACATATATTGGAGATGAAGAATATAAAGAATATAAAACACTGGGGGCCAAGAGTCTCTTCAGGATTTCTGGCTTGGAAAGCAAATTCAAATCTGAGTTCAGGAAAGTGACGGTAAAGTCAGAGATAAGAGACAGTAAAGTCAGAGACAATCATCTGCAGGGATGATTTAATTGGGGATTGGTCCTGCTTTGAGCAGGGGGTTGGACTAGATGACCTCCTGAGGTCCCTTCCAACCCTGATATTCTATGATTCTATGACAAAGGACCATTTTGTCAGGAGGACAGCTTTGGTCTTCAAAGTATTCAGCGTAAGAAATTACACCATTGGTGGAAGTTGACAGAGTCAAGACAGGCTGGTAAATGAAAAATAAAAGGTTCAGACACTGAGTGGAAGGCGGATGTACAATAGAACAGAATAAAAGTGATGACCTAAGATGAAGCTAAGAATGTGGTCCCCAAGGAGAAAATATATGGAGAACTAGATAGATAGAAAAACAGAATCTTACAGCATTCCAAATTGGAAAAGGAGAGCTAGAACTGAAACCAAGAGGGAGTGCAGTGAAGACATCAAGTTTTTGCATACAGTGCTCAGAGAAGGAAGAGATATCCATAATATTCAATGTCACAATGAGATCAGATGAGATGAGAAAAAAAAAAAAAAAAGATATCCCTGAGCCATACCTGTAAGGAGTCCTTAACAACACAGAGAAAGACAATCTCAATACTGTGCAAAGGGTTGAAAACACAATGAAGCAAACAGGAAAGCTGTGCTGCTGAGGTAGCCAGAGAGGTAAGGGAAGAGCATATAGAAAAGCAGAAGAGATAATAAAGCAAAACAAATGAGGGCAGAAGCATGAACTGCTAACCTCTGTAGATTCCAACCAAACTGCCTCCCCGCCAAACAAAACATTGGGAAAGCCATCAATAAGAAAGTTTCTAGGAGTATAGTCCCAACTGTGGCAAAACAAGATAATTTCATATAAACACCAAGAAGGTATCTAACATAAACGTTTAAAACTATTTCTTTGTGGAAAAACTATTGTTCTTCTGTACTAATTTCAGACCAATAAATGCTTCTAGTTAATTTCTGCAGGGTGTAATCCAGTAATTGGCACCCAGATATAAAAGCTAATCCATTCCTTTCCTCTGCTGTGGTGTTTTTAGTCCACTGTGTCTGTATGGGGAACTGGATGTAGAGGAGCCATGGACCATGCATAGCACAAGAAGCAGAGTCCTCGTGGATTAAGGGAAGGTCAGAAGATCCTCCCATCACCCTTCTTCTGAAGGAGTAAGATAATAAGTACTCCAGGGGCGATTCTTTACCTCCACCTGTGTGCCTCTTCACAGAACCTAGTCCTAATTCTTGAACTGCATGGCAGATCCTGGATTTAAACACATGGGTAGACTGATACCCTTCCTCCCAGTGGGTAGCACTATCCATGAGAAATCCCACTGAAAAACAGTGGGACTATTCATAGAGTTAAGTAATACTGAACATGAGTAAATTATCACAATCTGGCCCTAAATTTGCATACACGAAATTGATAATCATCATATTGACACCTGTCTGCAAGTAGCTTATGTCTGAAGCTAAAAATTGGAGTGGAGTTAGTTCAGGACTTGGGTATCCATGAAACACTCTTGCTATTCGCCATTATAACATACATTGAAATAACATGTTGGTCTCCATGTTCTTCCGCCATGGAAAGACTAAGTCTAAAATGAGTGGCGTCTTGCACAGGGCACTAGGGCCTTTTACATATATTAATACTTACTTGGTAGGCTGAGAAACCAAGGCATCTTTATGCAGTCTGTAACACGGATAAGCATTAAAAGTACCAGGCTCCATAGATACTCCTTCTACTGTCGAAAACTCCTTTTCAACCAAACCAAACATTTCCATCATTTTAAATCCTGGAAAGCATAAAAATACTGAACGTATCACTTTAAATTCATTATGTTAAGGGACAAAATGAACTACATAAAGGAGCTTCATATCACCGTGCGGTTAACAGCTGTTGTTATAAACAAAAGTAAGTAATTTATTCCCTACAGGTGTGTATCTCAGTAAATGAAAATGATTACATAAATGCAGAATCTATTATCACAATACTGTACCTGCTAAACTGTTGCCATCCTTATATACCAATGGGCAGGCTGGAAAAAATTAAAAATATATTTAAACTCAGAAGAGCAGTACATACTTCAAAATATATCTGTTTTATTTCTTCCTATAAAGAGAAAATTAAACTAATCTCTCCCAGGAAAGGTCTGCAGCAGAATCAGCAAACAGTGAGGTCTACAGATCTAGTTCTGGGCATCTGTGAGGCAAACCCACAGCTAGACCATGGCTGCTCACTCAGCTAGGACTCACCCCCGTCCAGCAGAGCCTGCAGTGACTCAACTCTCAGGCATGCTGCAGCAGCATATCCCTGGGCAGGGCCCAAGTCAGATGACCCCAGTGCACAGATATTTCACCTTTACTGCCAGAACCACAAGTAAGTTTGTACAAGATCACCACTTGGCTAGGAACCCTCCTGCTGTCTCATGGTGTTACTGACTCTCTAGGCTTCCAGACTACCCTCAGTCCTGTCCCTGTTCCTTGTCCAAGCCTTGTTGCAGCCTCGTCTGTGCCCTAATTTGAATGTGCTCCAGCCCTGATCCTGACCTGCTCCAGCCCTGTACCTGCCTCTGAACCCCAGACCTTTGGACTGACTCCAACTCAGCTTTGACCTTCAGCCTGCTTCCAGACTCAGATTACAATCCTGATTTGGGTTGTCTATGGAATCTTTGCCCGACTCTGACCCACAGCCTGTCCCCAGACCCTGGTTTCAGCATTGCCCTCTTTCTGGTCCTGACTCTGTTTGGATTCAAATCACTACTCCAACCACCAGGCATGACAGCCTAGAGCCCAGAGCCTGACAGCATCCCATGTGGCACCACTAGGTGTTCCAGGCTAGCACCCCAAATTAAAGGGCACTTTTGAAAATGTAGGCCTGAATGACCAATCAATAATATTGCTGAGCTTGCAAAGTTCTGGTCTAATGATTAGGGCCTACCAAATTCATGGTCTATTATGGTCAACTTCACGGCCACAGGATTTTAAAATTGGTAAATTTCACATTTTCAGATGTTTAAATCTGAAATTTCATGGTTGTAGTCATGGGGGCCCTGACCCAAAAGGGGAGGAGATGGGGAGGGGGGGTCACAAACCTGTTGTAGGGTGGTCATGGGATTGACATCCTCACTTCTGTGCTGCCTTCAGAGCTGGACTCTGAAGGAAGCAATCGCAGAGCTTCCTGCAGCCACAGAAGGTTCCCAGAGGTGGAGGTGGGTCTGATCTCCCCCCACCTCCCTCCAGAGCAGCTGTGCAGGGAATGGACAAATCCCGTCCCGCCCCAGTCCAGCCGGAGCTAGGAGTCCCCATTGCTGGGGCGCTCCCAGCAGCACAGGGAAGATCAAACCCAAAAGTCTCCTCCAGTTGCAGGAACCTTTGGGACTGCTGCCCTGTCCCAGAGCATCCTGCAGCAGAGGGAGGCACCCAGAGGTGGGTCTGGTCTCTCCCCCCAGAGCAGCTGTGCAGGGGATGGATACGTCCTGTCCCTCCGCAGCCCAGCCTGAGCTAGGACCCCCACATTTCTGGGGCGCTCCTAGGAACAAGGGGACACCGGATTTCACGGGAAAGGTCTTATTTCACGGTCCATGATGCATTTTTCATGGCCATGAAATTGGTAGGGCCCTACTAATGATGCATAATGTTGAAGCTGCAACCATCAAGAAGTAAATTGTAAGGGTTTAAAAAAGGATGCATCGGAATACAAAGAAAGCAACATTCTTGTGTATTCACTTCTGGCAGATTGCAGCTCTATATTCATGTCAGCTACATACATGCCATTTTCCAGGCATATATATAATGGAACATAATGAGGGTGTGTGTGTATGAAACGTGGATCATGCCCTCTGACCACTAGGCCCTGACCCAGAAAGTCCCTCCTTTCCTCTAGTCATAGAGGGTCTAGAAGAATGACATCTCCATGACTTTGGAGAGGTGCCAGAATTATAGCAGGAAAGTCCTGCTCCACCCTTCCCCTTTGGGCTATAACTTTTCCAATTTGTGTGCTATATACATACTAGAATTTGGCCCTGAGGAATGCATTTTACAGATGTTGTTTAAATAAGGACTGTTTAGTCAACACTAATCACAGAATAGGTTAAGGGTCTGTAGAAAATAAAAAGTCGTTTAAAAATTGTAGACCAAAATTCTGCTCTCATTTACCCTGCTGTAAATTCAGAGCAACTTCTTTGTGGTCAGTGGAATTACTCTGGGTTTACACCAGTATAACAGAGGTCCCTGAATAACTGCAACCAGAACCCGATTAGTCTTGTACCACAATAATATTGTAGCAATGATAGCCATAGAGATATTAGAAAACTCACTGTATGTTTCAATGGAATGGAAATAGAATTTTTGGAATAGAAAAGTGAATAAATAAACTCCTTATTTAGCAGGTATTGAATGTTGCATAGGCACAAATACAAATCAAAATGGCTAACTTGCTGATGCAGTTTCACAGACAAAAGTGATCAGCTCATCTTCAATCTTCTTGAAGGCATCAAAATCATCCACAAAGAAGACATGTCTTTCACTAGGCTTGCTGCCAATGTTAACTAATTCTGAATAATCTGCATCCGCCACACCAATAGCAAAAATGCTGAAACCTATAAAACAAAAGGAAATATTCTTGTAATGTGTTCATTCGAAGAGCAGAAATCAAATACAAACATACCATGTCCTTTGGCTCCTTTCATGACTAAATGTAAAAGTAGAAAAATTCAGTCCTACTTCTCGTTCAGCCAATAGCTAAGCGAAACCAGTTTGTTTACATTTTCGGGAGATAATGTTGACCACTTCTTAATTACGTCACTGAAAGTGAGAACAGGTGTTTGCATGGCACTGTTGTAACTGGCGTCGCAAGATATTTACGTGCCAGATGCGCTAAAGATTCATTTGCCTCTTCACTCTTCGGCCATCATTCCAGAGGACATGCTTCCATGCTGATGACGCTCATTAAAAAATAATGCATTAATTAAATTTGTGACTGAACTCATTAGGGGAGAATTGTATGTCTCCTGCTCTTTTTTACCCGCATTCTACGATATATTTCATGTTATAGCAGTCTCGGATGACGACCCAGCACATGTTGTTCGTTTTAAGAACACTTTCATTACAAATTTGACAAAATGCAGAGAAGATACCAATGTGAAATTTCTAAAAATAGCTACAGCACTCGACCCAAGATTTAAGAATCTGAAGTGCCTTCCAAAATCTGAGAGAGACAAGGTGTGGAGCATGCTTTCAGAAGTCTTAAAAAGAGTAAAAAGAAAAGGAGTACTTGTGGCACCTTAGAGACTAACAAATTTATTTGAGCATAAGCTTTCGTGAGCTATAGCTCACTTCATCGGATGCATTCAATGAGTAACTCAGTAATTCAGTGAGTAAAAAAGGAACACTCAGATGCAGAAACTACAGAACCCGAACCACCAAAAAAGAAAATTGACCTTCTGCTGGTGGCATCTGACTCAGATAATGAAAATGAACATGCGTTGGTCTGCACTTCTTTGGATCGTTATCTAGCAAAACTCGTCATCTGCATGGACACATTCCTCTGAAATGGTGGTTGAAGCCTCAAGAGACATATGCATCTTTAGCTCATCTGACATGTGAATATCTTGCCACGCCAGCTACAACAGTGCCTGTTCTCATTTTCAAGTGCCATTGTAAACAGGAAGCAGGCAGCATTATCTTCTGCAAATGTAAACAAACTTGTTTGAATGATTGACTGAACAAGAAGTAGGAGGACTGATTGGACTTGTATTCTCTAAAGTTTTACATTGTTTTATTTTTGAATGCAGGGATTTTTGTACATAATGCCATGGCCAGTAGAAGGACTTTCCTAACTGAGAATTCCAACCTCTGAAACTCGTTCCTTTCACAGATACACCAGACTTTTACTGTAATAATTCTTGTTATCTGTATTACAATAGGCCCAAACCAATATCAGGGCTCCTTTGTGCTAGACACAGTCCATACATATAGTTAGAGACAGTTCGTGCTCCAACCAGTTTACAGTCTAAACAGACAACACAGACAGGGGGAACAAAGGCACAGAGAGATTAAGTGATTTGCCCAGGGAGCTCGGGTCTCCTGACTCCCATTCCAGTGTCCTATCCAGCAGACCACACTGTGTCTCTAGTGCAGTGGCTCTCAATGTTTCCAGACTACTATATCCTTTCCAGGAGTCTGATTTGTCTTGTGTACCCCAAGTGTCACCTCACTTAAACAACTTGCTTACAAAATCAGACATGGAAATTCAAAAATGTCACAGCGCAATGTTACTGAAAAATTGCCAACTTTCTCATTTTTACCACACAATTATAAAAATCAATTGGAATATAAATATTGTATGTACATTTCAGTGCATAGTATATAGAGCAGTATGAACAAGTCATTGTCTGTATGAAATGTTAGTTTGTACTGACTTCGCTAGTCCATTATATGTAGCCTGTTGTAAAACCAGGCAAATATCTATGTGAGTTGATGTACTCCCTGGAAGACCTCTGCCTAAATCCTGGGGTACACATACCCTGGGTTCAGAACCACTGCTCTAGTGAGCGCCAATGCACAATACATGATGTATCTAGTTGATCAACTCTTCAAAATAGTTTGGTTCAATTTAACTGGAGAGCCTTTTTATTTTTGTTAGAGATTTGGGATTTTTGTTGCTGCGCTTCTAAATTTAAAAACTAGTGTTCTGTTATTATGTAATTCTTGTTTTATTAGCGAGATGCTGTGCTTAGCCGTGGTTTCAGTGTAAATGCATGAAAAATAAACATAGCATGATTCATTTCTTATGAGTCAATATCTGACATTCAAATGATGCAAGTGGACAACTCAATGGAGAGACCATATTGTTTTGGGCTACAAGACCCAGTGACTAGTCAGAGCCCTGTACATGCCAAATTTAAAAAAAAAAAAAGTGTGCGCATACTACTTATTGAACCAACAGCCATTATAGACACTTATTTCTGTTATCCAGCCCGTCTGGAACCCAGGCTTCCTCTTCGTTCTTTTGGGGGCAAGGACCATGTGTAAATGTTCTGTGCTGTTCCAAGCACACTTTGGGACTTGGTACAAATACTAAACAACAATAGTTATAACGTTCATAATCTAATTATCGTGCTCAGAAACCATGGTGATGGGCACCAATATAAAACCCTGAGATAGGTAGTATAAAAACTTTAAGATAGTTATTGGAAGATGAGCGGCAGATTAGAAGCAGCACAAGAGTCCATCAAAGGTGCTTCCTAAGAGCTCTTGTCTGGAAGGACAAAACAGTTCGGATGCTTCTAAAAGTGAGTTTATCTATCGTGGATGACAATATGGACTTGTAGGCCCCACTCCTGAAAGTACTTAAGCATGTGAGTAGTCTGCATGATTTTAAAAACATGCACAAAAATTGAGCCAATAATACTAATAACTACAAATAAATTATATAAAATGCTAGTCATTCCCTAGTGGAATTCAGAGTTTCCCAGTGTGTGCTGTCTGCTTTACGTCTGACTTGGATTAGATTTGTAAACCCTTCTGGGACAGGAATTATCCATATCTTGTGTCTGGCTTAAACAGTGATTATGAAGATGAAGATGGAGGAGCAGGAAAAACTGAAAATGCAAACATTTCTTAATATATGTGTTACCATCTAGTTGCATCTCTCTGGAGACTTTGTTCACATCATCCTGTGATCGTCCATCAGTAATGACCACCAAAACTTTAGGGATACCCCTCCTTATGCCTGAATCAGTGGTGAACAAGGCCTCCTGTGCATGCTTAATTGCTTTGCCTGAAACAGAAGAAATTCACTATGAAACGAATCTGGTTCATCCTAGATTTTCTGTTAATGCTTTATATACTGATAAAAGAACAAAGCCCCATATAAATTATTAGGTCAAGATTTTCAAAAGCATTTACCTAATGCCAAGCTTCTAAAGCCATGTTTAGACACCTAAATAGATAGCCCGATATTGAAAAGTGCTGAGCACCCAGCAGCAAACTCTGACTTCAGTGAGAGCTGGCATGTGCTTGGCACTTTTGAAAATCAGGCCACTTATATAGATGAATAAATATGGATTTAGGAACCTAATTTTGACCTTGTATTTTCAAACTCTCATCTCTTGACCTTTGGCTTCTTAGGTTTAAAAAGATATGGCCAAATCCTCTATACTAAATGGACTTGGTTGGGATGTGGCGGGTCCTATGGTAGTCAACACACACCAAGTCCTCCCCTACAAGGATGCAAGTAGTTCAAAAATGCCAGTGCAGAATTTTCTGGGGAAAATGGAAATGTGTAATTGTGGTCACAGTGCAGTGCAAGTAGTTGCATTAAATTTCTGTGAAGTCTGAGACGATAAACTCTATGGCCCCAAATAATCCTGCCAGTATTCAAGCTGAATTTCCTCCTCCTCAGAAAGCTATCCTCAGGGGCTAAACACAATTCTAGCTAGTACCACACCCATTCCTCCCCTGATCTGCTGAAACACACTGCAAACCCCTGAACAACTTCCCTCTCCAGGATGGAGTCTCTCACTTTTCCACCTGCCAGCATGAATCCACATTACTTCCCATTCCACCTTCCCCAGCCTCCACAGCCATTTGTCTTCGATAGACCCTTTTCCCTTCACTGGTCCCCAGCCCTATAGTTGGGTTAAGGCCCAGAAGTGCAGAGGTGCATCATGTGGGTAGTGCAACCAGGAGATCACCCGGGCTCTCTGGTCATGATGATGTGGGACATTCCAGAGTCTCGTCTTTCATCCCCACTGCCGACTATCTTCATCCCCACTCTTCTTGCACTGATGTCACATGGCCTTATCCTGACAAACCACTTTGCAAATGGAGAGGTAACTCTGTCCAGAAAATGGTCATAAGAAACTGTTTCACAGCCTACAACTGCTCTCACCTGTTTTGGTGTTTCCTCCTTTGTACGCTATGTGCTGAATGGCTTCAAGAAGAGTCTCTTTCGTTTTGTACACATTCAGTTTAAATTCTGTTCTGGGATCATCACTGAACTGAGCTATGGCAACCTGTATACGGAAAACATGCTAGTTAGTAAACACTGTTCTACGTTTAACAAGGGCACGTGAACCAGATCATTTAAAATAAGAGTTGTTTGGACTTTTGCTCCCTCCTTGACTTGAAGTCTTTTTTAATTTTTTTTTTTTAATTTCACTACATAAAGTTCAAATTTGTTCTCTGCAGCTTTGGTTGCTGCCTATCACTTTCTGGTTTCATTGGGTAGAAACAGGATGAGGAAGTTTTCCCACTTTTGCAAAAGCATTCCCTGTTCAGTCCCAGGGCAAAATCCTATACACAGTTGCTCATATATGTATAGTTATTCCCGCTCAGAAATAGTTTTACGTGAGTAACTGTGAGATTGTGACCGAAACTTAGGAAGTATTAGAAATAACATGAGAACCTATTTTTTAGTTATTTTCTCTCCCAAATGTGTTGCTACGTGAGCCCTGCCCTGCCTTAAATTAAGCATGTGTTTCTGTGGGATTGAGGACTATGTTTGTAAAAATAATTTGTTCTGATGTGAATCAGAAATTAAGAGAAAGCAAGGACTAAGTGTTTCTCTATGTTTGGAAAGTGTCTAACACCTTTTGGGTGCTTTTGTAACCTCAATATTAAACAACAACAAAATTAAAATGGCGTGATTTAAAACAGTGATATGCACAGCTGTATTTTTTAAAAGGTTATAAAAAACTCTTACAGAGCACATTCAGTGTTTATCATCTTTTCCTGCGCAAGTACTTTAAAAATATGAATATAGTAATTATTTTAAATATTGTGCTTTATTTTATATCACATTTGTGCTTAGTCTAGAGCAGATGAATTTATAAAAACAAGAAAATTGAAAAATAAGCTTACAATTTTTAATGTCAGTGAAAACACTATTGTTTCTAGAGGACTAGGGTTGAAATAAACACCAGGTGGAGGAGCAGCACAAGGCCTAAATACTACTTAAATCCCGTTGTGAGGGCTTAAGAGAGACTTGAATCATTCTTACACATTGTGCTGTCTCTCTGGTGAATCTCATCCTATGAAATATATAAAATAAGATACTGCAAAAGAACTGCTGCCAGAACTCAGTTTATAGAAAGAAGTGTGAAACAATGTCAACCACACTTTGATTGGTTTGATTTTAGACACTAGATACACTTGTTCGGTTATGCTCTCTCTCTTTGTGTTTGTTACCTGAGTTCCATCAGGACCAATTCTGTCCAAAGCTCCAACAGTGCTATACAGGAATCCAATTATTTTATTGAAATTGTCATCTCCAATACTCCATGACCCATCCACTAGGAACACTAGGTCAGCTTTGGCAGCTTTGCAAACTGTTGAACAACAAATATTTTGGAAGTTACTTTTTGGTCACTGGTAACTTCTTTGTTAATACTCACTAAGGTCTCAGTCCGGCAATAGGATCTGCTGGCATGGACACCCGAGTGCATGCAGAATCAACAGGGATCTGCACGGGATGAAGCATCTACACTAGCAGATGTGATTACATATCAGAGGTTAAAGTCTTAAAGGTTATTAAATATTTTGCTAAACATTTTAATTTTAAAATAATGTAGCACACACATTTACATAACCCGAGAAGCTGGCAGAACATACTGAGCCACTGTACTAGGTAGCAGGGCGAGAAATCCTCCACTGCCAGGCTGTGGAGCTGCTCTTCAGAAGCTCCTCCAGCTGACAGACTGGAGTAACCTCCATAACTCCTTATGTTCCTCTTCCAGGAGACTAGATACGGGTAGCCAGAGCAAGGGAATAAGGAGGAGCCTTACATCCTCTTGCAGCCCAGTGCAGGCATGCAGAATAGACAGCAGTCTGGACCTGTGAGGCTGGACCTCAGCCGCTCACCCCTGCATGCTGTTCAATAGACAGTCCCCATGGAGCTGAGCTCCATCTCACTGAGGAGTTACTCCTGACAAGGCTCCTTGGAGTCTCCTCCCTAATTTGCACAGCAATTGCTTAGGGCAAGAAAGTGGGCATAAATTGAGGTTGCCCCTGAAAAAAATTTTTTACCCCCTAAGGAAGAAATTCACTTAAGTGCCAAGGGTCAGAAGAGGAAGACACATAAATGTGACTATTCTTGCTGTTTTCAGCTGAAGTGTACTCAGCTTTGGGTATATTTGCTGCTGCACAGTTCTATGCAGTGCGTACGATCCCTTTCTTGCTGTATCTAAGGATGAGTTCCTCAGCTGGTTTGAAGTTGCACAGCTCCATTGACTTCAAGTTGAGGATCTGCCCTTAATCCCCAACAATAAAGCACTCTGAACAGAAACATTTATGAGACTCTATATGAGACTCAGGGAAGTTTATAGGAGATTGATAAGCCAAGGGAAGCCCTTATTTAAAGAGAAGAGTTGTGAGTATAGTAAATGCACATGGCCAATGCCTTCTGCATTAGAATATTTTTATGGACTAGAAAAATCATGTTGTTTTATAAGTCTAACAACTGCTAGGACAGTAGTTTTCAACCTGTGTGCATGTCTATGGAGTCCACGAAAGGTTGTCGTCACCATAGAACAGTGGTTTTCAACTTGTGGTCCATTGAACTGTGGGGGTCTGCAGACTATGTCTAAGATTTCCAAAGAGGTCCGCACCTCCATTTGAAATTTTTTAGGGCTCTGAAAATGAAAAAAGGTTGAAAACCACGGTACTAGGCTATATATACACTGGTCTACAGTAAAATGTACCTATCTGTTTCCTTCTGTTGCAACATATTTAAAACGTGTTAATTATTTACCAATTGTATGCTTTGCATAAATTCACCAAAAAGGTCCCCCAAACAATAAAACACAATCTGGGGACAGTTCCTCAATGCATGTAAATCAGCCCAGACCCATTAGCTTCCATGGAGCAACATCAATTTATACGAACTGGGAATCTGGCCCTAGAAATCTATAATAGTGATCAAAACCAGAAAATGATCTACATAAGTTAAGACTATTTTAACCCATAAACACAGCACATGTTTACCTTCTTTTGCAGGAGGGATTGTAGGTGGTGGAGCTATTGTTGAAGGAGAAGTCGGTGGTTGAGTTGGAAATGGTACTAGAAATTAAAAGGAGAGAATACCAAGAAGAAATCTTATCTGAAGACACCTTCACACATTTTTAGTTATTTGAGGTAAGGCATTTTCTCCTTTTGTTTTGTTTGCATACCTATCTAGTTATACAACCCAAAGGCTAGCTTTGTGTGTGTGTACATACGCTTGCGATGTCTACCGCTATTGGCTGGATCTACTACTGCAACTACCAACTAAGGCCTAAATTGTGGCTTTGCCACAAGCCCCATGTATGATACATTTCAGAGTAGCAGCCGTGTTAGTCTGTATTCGCAAAAAGAAAAGGAGTACTTGTGGCACCTTAGAGACTAACAAATTTATTTGAGCATAAGCTTTCGTGAGCTACAGCTCACTTCATCGGATGCATAAATTTGCTAGTCTCTAAGGTGCCACAAGTACTCCTTTTCTTTTTATGTATGATATAGTGTATTGTGCTGTCCCAGAAGTAGCTCGGGAAGCAGACTGTGACACAGACACTTTCCCCTGCTCTGGGGGGACATATCTTGCGCAGGCCCTAGACTTGCAGTGTCCATACTCTGCTGTGCCAGGTATAATTCTCCTATCCCTTTCTGACCACTCCCTTGCCCACCTGCCCAGGAGGGGAAGTAACAACTCCTCAAAGGCTGGCTTCCCCAGCATACTGCTATACTTACCACAGGCAGCCAGCACAGGGAAATAAGGAGGGGCCTTCCATTTCCTTACAGCCCAGTGCAGGCATGCAGAAAAGACAATAGTCTGGCCCTAAAGGAACTCTCCCTTAGCTCAACTGGTAGAGGTTGGTATCTTTTAATCTGGAGACCAGATTTGTAGCTCTCTGTGTAATATCGAGTCATTGTGCCTCTCGCTGACTGCAGCGCATGATTTGTTACAAGGTTACTATGCACAGGTAATCTTGAAAAATTGGCTTCCTTGTCTTCTACTTCACATTAAGAGGAGTCTCTGAATGGCACTTTCCCAGAAATGAGGCTGAACAAATTATCAGCTACTCAACAGCTCTGCTGTGGTTCTGACAGTGATTGAATAAAGCTTTGTTAGCAAATTTCAATATAGTTTTAGGCGGAGTTCACAGAGGTAACATGTACATGCTTGATTTCCACATTTATGACCGAGGAAAAGTTCCAAACCTTGTCAGACAACATTCTTTCCAGTATTCTCAACATGATTAAGGTAGGGAGCCACATGCGATGTAGTTAAAGGTTGTTGTGTATTTGATATTCACCACAATGTACACATCGTATTTATGGTTACAGGTGATGAGGACAGTTGCATAAAACTATCCTTCAGAAAGGATTCCCAGAAAGACTGGCACATAAAGGAATTTGTGCCCACAGTTACATCTAGTGGGCCCAATCTCCCACTGAAATCAATGGGAGGTTTTTCATTGACTTTAAGAGGAAAAGGTTAGGGCCAAGTCTATGAATCACCTAAGGGGTAAATTATGCCTGGCATGAATGCAAGGTGGAGGCTAGGAGGAGCTCCCATCTGTAAGAGGGTCAGGCACAATTGCAGTCTCTGCACTCGGAAGAATGCAGGGGCTGCTCCCTCCTAATGTCCATGAGACACAAGCACACGAAATGGGACCTTGGGCAGTTCAGTTCTTTATTTGACATGCTTAACCTTCCGTATGGTAACCTGGCTTTGGAGAAAGGGTTTAATTTTACAGTCTATTCAGAGTAGTGCAGGGGGAGCATGGGAACCAGCTGAATTCCTCCTGATTCTCCCAAACACCCAGATTCCAGGACACCAGGCCCACAGCAAACCTTTCCCAATCCTCCCAAAGGCATCAGGATCTCAGACTGCTCATTATCCTCAGTGAGTTTCTAATGGGAAATGGGCCTGGACAATGTAGGAGGTGGAGGGATGGAATCTGGGAAGGGTTTTGCTGCGTAGAAGCCAGGAGGAAGACTCTGGGTGTGGTAGGGTGACCAGATGTCCCAATTTTATAGGGACAGTCCCTATTTTCGGGTCTTTTCCTTATATAGGCTCCTAATATCACCCACCCCCTGTCCTGATTTTTCACATTTGCCCTAAAGTGTGGTGTGGATTAAACTGAAAGGGGAGGTGATAAAAGTGTCTGCTGGGGGAGTGAGGCAGATGAAAGAAGGGAAAGGGGAGGGCATACCACTTAGGTGAGTGGTTAAACTAAATACACTGAAAGACTGGGTTGGAGGTGAGATAGGGAAAAGAGAGAGGGGAGGCTGGAAAAAGTGTTCCATTTCCTTCCCTTCATCCTTTTTTTGTCTCACTACATTGTAAGCTCATCGGAGCTGGGACCTATCTTCTTATATGTTTATGAGGCATCTAGCTCACTTTATGCCCCTTGAGAAATAATAATGGATACAATTTTCAAAAGTGCTCTGGTGATTTATGAGCCCAAGTCCCACTGACTTTCATCCACTGAGGCGCTTTTGAAAATTATTCCCAATGACAGCATCAAAGATCTGAATCTTTCACTGGTTCTCTGTATTTTGTGCCCTTTGGTTTTCTCTGCTGTCCATGTTTTGAAATCCTCTTTGGAGAGTCATTGATTTTACAGCCAGAAGGGACCATTTGTGAACTGGGCTAAAACATCCTCCCCCTGTTTTGTAAGAGGGCTGCATTTGCCACCCCATTCCTGTGTGTGGTTATTAGCTCCCGGGAGAAATGCATAGCTATGTTTGAGAATGCTCTGGAGGAAGCAACCCTTTGAGCACTATCAGAGGCAGAACAATTAAAAAACCGCAATGAAAGAGGAAAAAAAACTGTTAGTACCCATGTGGTTACTGTACATTGGTTCTAGCCTCTTGCCCCAATGGGGACAACCAAGGGTTAGCCTGAGGTGGCTGACCTTTAAGAGACTTCACTTACATGTAGTTTCCATGATGCTTACACCAGGGCCTTCTATCTCCTGAAGCTGGGCATAGACACTGATTTTATACTCAGTGCCAGGCATGAGCTCAAAGAAGCAATGTCTAGATGTCCCTCCACCAAGGGTTACTTCTTTCTTCTTCCCATCTGGAATTATAAAAGGAATTATAAAAGGAACCATTAGAACAGAATTTTACCTACCATTTTCCTGAAAAAATTTGTCATATAATGGCCTGAAACTGGAAGGGAATATGACAGTAAATGAAGTGGCTATAAGAACTCTCTATTTATTAACCATTTTGAGCCACACGCTGCCTCCAATCTGGATTAAATTCATCTGTGTGCAGAGAGGCCCACCAAAAAGCCTGGGCACCATTTAATGCTCACCACTCCCAATAATTCTGACATAGGATTCAAGTGGTGCCTCTGCAAATTCACCCCCTGTGCATTAAAGCCCTGATCCAAATGCCATTGAAGTTAATGGGAATACTTTCAAGAGAAGTAAACATCCGTAAAAGTAAGGAGCGTTGCAGGGAAATGAAAGACTATACTACACATTCTATATAGTATTTACTAAATGTGCCAATAGGTCCCATTTGTTGCCAAGTAAAAACCATTTTATGCATATCAAGTTGAGTAGCAATACTATGAAGATAATTGACAACTGGTTGAGTGAGATGCAGAACAAGCTGGACAATGAAAGTTCTTCATGACAGATGTTAATAAGGAGCTATTTGAATGGCTCTTTTGTTCGTTCTCAAATTAAGGCTCTCAGGCTAGGTTAAACACATGTCTGGCAGTCCTACATAATAATGAATAGGCACAGAGGAAGCAGAATTTAGGCTAACTCCCAGGTAAGAAGGAAATCTGCATTCCCTCGTGCCAACTAAGACCGTTGCTTTAAAATAGCTTCTCTGTATTTCAGGCCTTCAGATAAACCTTATCTGAATCCATCAATTGTAAAATACAAGGGTCATTATTTTACAATCAGATTAGCATCTACTGTTCATGTCGTCTTTGGTTAACTTGATTAGGTTTTACTAACTGCACTTCTCAAGTTATTCAAGTTTTTCAAGGGAGTCATTCTATGCAAGGTAATGGTTTTTCACCATAACAAGACAGCGAGTGTCTACCGGGGATGAGCAAATGAGCTTGCATACAGTTATAGCCCCCGTGAACCTCATCTGGATAAGGTAAAGCCCACTGAGCATTCACCATAGCTCCCTTCCCTCAATGGGCCTGGACATCTCCATTTATCAGATCTAAATGGACAGGAGGTTCACTCTCCCTTCTGGATCTTTATGAAGTAACCACAGTACTGCTTTCCATCCTCCATTCTTTTGGGAGCCAGCCTGTACGTTCATTCCCACACAATCCAATGGGCTGGAAGCAGCAGATAAGGAACATAGAGGAGTGTTTCTTGATCTTTTTGCTGCAGGGTGGGAGGCTGAACAAACCCAAGCAGGTGACTTAGCTGGGAGCTGGAGACCAGTGGGTTTGACGAGATGAGATGGAGAAGGATGGGCGGCTGCACCCTGAAGATGCTGTGGGAGGGGGGAAAGGAGCAGGAGGCTGTTGGATCTCCCGCTAGATACAAGGCAGTATCAGGTAAGGGGGTGACCTGGAGCCTGTGTAGTCACAGATAACTAGTCAAGCTTTTATGTTAAGGGAACTCTAACTCCAAATCTTTTGTGGTTCATTCATTTCCAGTTTCTGTGTAGTTCTGCTCTCCTCCACTTATTTTAAACACTGTCATTCAATTACTTTTACAATTTTACTAATTTTAGGAGTGGAAATTTTGTTTGCAAATTTCATTTAGATCCAGTCCTGTGGTTCTCTACAAGCAGCATTCCTACAAACTATTAAGTCGAGTGGATATGTAACAATGTGCTAACTTACCAACAAGAGATTCTATAACTATCCTGTATGCAGTAGCATGTCTGTGAAGCTGCCACTGGGCACAAATACTAGTCATGCGCACTTGATATGCATCCAGATTTGTCACCCCCAAGTACACTGCAATTGAATATAAAAACAAATAGTCACTGCTACAGTAAAAATGCCAGAACACAAGAAAATGCTGCAATATAATTATCCAAAAATCAGAAGAAAAAGGAAAAAAGTGAGTGACCACTTTTATTAATTAATTTTAAAGAAATAATTGTAATGCAAAAGCCTGCACAAAAAATAATCCCCAAAATAATATCTAATAAAGGACAGGAAGCAGAAAGAAGGCATCTACATCCTGAGTCCTCAGATCTGGAATTTGAGAAGGACCAATAAACAGTGTTAATAATTCACTTAAAAGCAAAAATGTTATTGATATAACAATACTGTTGTCAAAGCTGAATTTAAGGTTAAGGTTTCCATGATGTAAAGCCTAACTCAAATGATTTCGAAGGATTGCCTGATCAGAAAAAGGAAAACAGACTTTCATTAAGCAAATGTATAGTTACTAGAGTTGAATGATAATAAATAATATCTGCTTTATGACCTGTCTTGTGTTAATTCCAGCAGGAAACATGTTAAAGCTCTATTCTGTCTGATGAAAAAAGGCTTTTCCTTTCAGCAAACAACTAGCTCAAAATACTTAGAAGAGGAAAAGAATTCGTGTGAGAATTCATTCAGGGAGTTGTGTGAAGCTAAAGTTACAATGGGAAAATGGTCCGTAGAGATCTGAACAGCATGAAATCATTCTTACATGTTTTGGCTGTGCCTGCTAGGGCATCACTGAAGCCTGTTGAGTATGAAGCAAATACTTTAATGCTATACTCAGTTCCACTGAATAGATTAAGAATGAGAATGGTGTTAATATCATCCCCCACGAAGGTCTCCAGTGCTGGTCCAGGGACTGAAAAAGAATAGAATACTTTGTAATTAAAGGAATTATCAGGCAGTAAAAAATATCATAATCTGTAGTCAAAAATAGGTTTATTCCTAAACACATTGCTTTATTATTACTTGCTTAGCCACAGTGGTGCACTCAGTACCGTACACAGAACTGAAGACACTTCATAACCAGAAAGAAAAGGAGTACTTGTGGCACCTTAGAGACTAACCAATTTATTTGAGCATGAGCTTTCGTGAGCCACAGCTGAGCTGTGGCTCACGAAGCTCATGCTCAAATAAATTGGTTAGTCTCTAAGGTGCCACAAGTACTCCTTTTCTTTTTGCGAATACAGACTAACACGGCTGTTCCTCTGAAACCTTTCATAACCAGAGCAACTCACAGTCTAAGACAGACATGTGGAAACCAGCACACACTGAGGAATCCAGCAGTGACATTCATCTAAGGCTCGACACTGGCACTTGCTAAGCCCCTTCTGTGCTGCTCCAGGGGAACAAAGGGGACTCAGCACTGCCCTAAATAGGCAGCTGAAGATTCCCTTGGCTTGGAGGCATAACAGGATCTGGGGATCCCCACCCACAAAACAAGTCCCTACAGGGCTATTGCAAACCTGCATCATTTAAAGCAGCTCTGAGTCTGGGATCAGGAACTGTGTAGAACTGGGACCAGGACAAAGAGCTGCAAACACTGCCATGTCTATCTTAACTGTAATCACTGCTTACGGCTTAGGATATAGCTTAGAATTCAGCCCTTGGCGTGTTTTTCTTTTTAATTTTTATTTCCTCCCCATTATAACAGTAAACTCAGTTCTTATGGTCATCATGAAAGAAATGTTTTTCAGAGGGATTTGAATGAGTGGGTGTGGCTTGGCTAACTGTGAATGAAGTCTACAGTTAGGTATTCTACATAGCTAGAGTTCGGTATCCAAAAATTAATGCATCTAAAATTACAGGGCACTTGGAAAAATTGGGTCTAAATCTCTCTGAACTACTTTGAAAATGTATTTCTATAGGCTCTCAGGTTTTTAGTTGCAATCAGTTATAGTTTTTTGTTTTAAGTGGGACTTTTAGCAATAGATGTGAAAACTGAAAAAGCAAAAACAGAAGCCAAAGCAACCAATTTTGAAAACTCACTTTTGATAGGTTTGTAGACAATCCTGTAACCCATTGTTGGTGATGGAGGGGCATCCCAGCTAATACGTAATCGGTTGTACCACTCATCTGAGACCCTTAAATTTCTGGGGGCAGAAAGAGGCACTAAAAGCAAAACAAATTGTGAGCTTCCATATCTGCATCTCTTACAAGCACTTGTATAAAAGATAGACATGCATATAAATAATAACCCAGATTACACATAACTCTAGATAAGGAGACCAGTTCTGCCCCCAAGTACACAGGCACAACTTCCAAAAGTCCAGAGGAGCCACAGCCATGTGTCTGAGAGAGGATCTGGGCCTGTTGAGTCAAATTCATCCCCAGCATTATGCCAGTGAATTAAAAAATATGGAGTTTCTAAAAGAGTTATAGCAAGGATTAATTTGGACTGTTGTGTCTATTGAACAAGTATTGTAATTTCAAATTAATACACAGCCTTAATGTAAACCCCCCCCCCCAAGAATAGAGGAGTAAAAGGGAATTCTGTGATAATTATCTTTCATGTGTATATTTCCTTTCAACTCAAAGTATCCCAAGGTGCGTCATAAATTTGGGCCTTGATTCTGCAAATGCTTATGTATTTGCTAAACTGAAGTCAACGGGACTATTCATGTACTTAAAGTTAAGTATGCATGTAAGTGTTGCAGGATCAGGGACTGAAAGTGATACACAAATTATGCACAGAGATAATTTCAGCCACCATTGAAATACAGCCACTTATCAGGTGGAACATGCCAGCTGTTTAGCAGAGCGCAGTAGGTCTATCTTTTTCCATTTTATCCACAGGTTGAATTTGGTTAGAGAGAATGTAGTGACTTGTGTTGGTATGTTGTCTAGAACTAATATAACAATTCTGCTGAAAAGTTCAACAGGGTCTTTAACAACTGCAAATGGTCAGGAACTTTTTAAAAAATATCTCGTCCAAAAGAAATCTCTCCAACAGCATTTTGGCTGGGGTATTGATTTGGCACTAACTAAAAATAGTTGAATGTCACTCATGGCATCATCATCATCATCACTTTCTACAGAACTTGGACTCCTTGGTGGACTCCCAAACCATAAGAACGGCCATACGGTTCAGACCAAAGGCCCATATAGCCCAGCATCCTGTCTTCTGCCAATGGCCAATGCCAGGTGCCCCAGAGGGAATGAACAGAACAGGTAATCATCAAGTGATCCATGTCCTGTCGCTCATTCCCAACTTCTGGCAAACAGAGGCTAGGGACACCATCCCTGTCCATCCTGGCTAATCGCCACTGATGGACCTATCCTCCATGAATTTATCTAGAATTTAATCAAAAACTGACCAGCCTTGCTCCCACTGAGTTTCTGATATTTGACAGTTCACAGCACAAGACATAGTCAAACTTGATTAAAAACAGTCACGTTTATCAGTCAGTGCAGTGGGATTTGTATAAAAGTCCTGATTCATACATTTCTTCATTTTTAATTTGAACCTATGTTTTAACCTGAACTCAAATGTTTGCATAGTATGAGAAAAAAACAAAACAAAACATCTCTTACTCAGACCTTTCCGTCTGCCTAAAACCAAATGTTTGTACTTACAGGTTTTTCCAGGAGCTGAGACACCGACTCCTTCCCCATCAGAATAGATGGGAGTGACAGTAACTTTGTATACGGTATCTGAGAGCAGCTGCTGAAGAAGAAGATTGTTTTGTCTTCCAGGTACCATTACCTGGATGGTCAGAACATCAGAAACAGACAAAGTTGATTATTAGCTTCTTAAATCCTTTTATAAACACATATGATCTCAGCCATCATATACCTTTCCCACTTCTGTACAGCAATTTATTCCTTATGAGCTGGTTTACATTTTAAATATGTTTGTGATGCTCTATTTTGACAATATTCGCCCTCCCTAAATAATCAGCAGACTTGTTCGCTATACATATCTAAGATAGTAATGTACTAAGAGAACCTGCCTATGATAGACAGCTATCTCTGCATGTATGAACTATCACTCTGTACTAAATCTCTGAGCCAATACAACTTTCAAATATTCCTTAGATCAGTTATATTAACTGCATGATTACTATTCAAAGCGTGGTTTCACTATAGAGGGTGGGGGAATCTGTATATTTTGCTTACTCTTGGTCAGAAAGGGATTGCCCAACACTGTACCTGTTAACTAAGACCCATCTAGGAGTAATTTAGGGATTATTCCTTATTCCATGAAGCACTTAAGCACTTGTTTTAGTTTAACTTCAGTGGGACTAAAGCACTTGCTTAAGTGCTTTGCTGAATCGGAACCAAAATGCCAGGTCCTGCAGCTTTACCATTTACATTTATGGGCATGTGATCCAGCTCAAAAAGCATAAATCTTTCTAATAGCGAGAGTTTTAATAACTTTACTAAAATTTTATTTTAATTTTTTAAAAATAACAACCAATTATTGACTATTAAAAACAGAGACACATCTATATTATCTAATTGGCTTGGTTTAAGCTTTCACTGACCTGAAAAAAGTTAATCTGGGATTTGAAAATTTAAGAAACCTCTGGCTATATCAGATGAAACAGAAGAATATTGCCTATTAGGCTGTATATTTTTGCTATTGCCTTGTATCGTAGTGTCATATATGCTATGTAGATCTATAAAGCTTTTTGTACTGCCCCAAAAAGAAACCACTCTATTAAAAAGGTTCAGTTTAAGATTACTGTTTTGACATCAGCGAGATAGCTAAAAAGTAATTTTCTACCAAAGCCTCATAAAAGATGGATGAAACTGAAAAGAAACAATAACATGATTCATATCTCAGGAGAAAATATATTCAAGTAGTTCCTTTCTTTGCCGTTCTTACTGATATAGTCATCAAAGAAAAATAAAACAGAAAAAATGAAAAAAAAAAAAAAAAAAAGCAGACTGCAGGGAATATGAAAGAATATCCAGTATGTCCAATAACATTTCCTGTTAACATAAATAGGAGTGAGCTGCATGAATGAGAACTCCATCAGATTACAGAATGTGAGTGAAGGAAGCTTGTACATGAAAGAATGCTTTTATATTCTGAAGTAATAATTTGGAGACATAAGCCTGAATGATACTTTTTGCTCTATTTTATGTATACCATTAGGCCGAAATTTTAATTCTTGACTTCAATAGGAAACTCAGGTATACATTATTGACAAACCCAAGTGTTCAAAAAGCATTAGTCAGGCCCCCAAATATTACAAAACTGGCTCAAAAATCATGAGATTTTAAAAATAATAAATTTGGGGTTCTTTTTGTATTCTAGTCTTTAAACTTTTAGCGTTCTCTCTTTCAAGCTTTTCCCCACAACCACAAGGGTTAGAAACTTACATTTTATTAAAAAATTAAAGATGAAAATCTGTTGTATTCACATGACTCCAGGAAATGAGGCTTTAAGAAAAATACCAAATATTGCACGACTTAGAGTTGACAACAGTAGGTGTAAAGCACAGCTTAAAATGAGGACATTCTTACTGAGGTGTCCGAAAGAGATTCACATGTATCTGTCTTAAGGCACTCAAATTTGGAAGTGTTATTCTTACTATGATCCCAATCCATGAGTAGTGTGACAGACTTGGAGTTCCTGCAATAGTTTAGGAATACTGTAGATCAGCCTTATTATTGAAATGTTTACTATATGGATATATTGGTTTAGTTTAATAGGGGACTGTTGGAGGAAAACAAAGCCAGAAAAGAAAGAATGGCTCAAGTTTAGCCACTTTTCTGCAAATGTTTGAGGGTTGGTAAGGGACAAAGCCAGGGCAGACAAAGGCCCAGGAACACAGGAGATCCAAAGAACTCTGGCCGGTTTAAAAAAGGGACTCTCTCTCAAGAGAGAGAGGTAGTTGTTCAGGGGAACCAGACGGAGACACAGACGCCCACTGTGGATACCTGAAGAAGTTAAGTCTGTAGGTTACCATAAGGGGATGGGCAGACCTTAGGTATGATAGACAGTCTACATGCATGTCTGTTGTTTAAAAATCCTCTTTCTCTATAAGCTTTGCCCCTCCTGCAAACTAAACAATACTTTGCATTTCAGAAGGCTGTTTTGGCACTATACTAGTCACAGGTGTCAGATACTCAGCTGCCTCTGGGCTCGGATCCCTAGCAACCCAATAAGCTCTGCTGGGCCCAATAATCCCTCACTAAGTGCTGTGCTCCCAGATTGCTCAGAAGGGTCAACAGATCACCATTTACATCCTGTAGCAACAAGAGCACGGTCAGTGGTGCTGGAACACTTTTAATAGTGGGCGTGCTGAAAGCCAGGGGTCGGGAACAGGACTGTGTCTCCTGCGGGGGGACACCCAGACAGGGGTAAGGAGGCCAAGGCTGGGGCCAGCAGCCCTGAGCGTGGGGCCGGGAGCCTGCATGCAGGGCAGGGAGGGGAGCCCTGGGAGCAGGGCCAGCAGCTGGGACCCTTCGTGAGGGGCCAGGAGCAGAGCCTCATGTAAAACCTGGGGGTGCTGCAGCACCCCCCGCACCCATACAGCTGCACCACACCCACAGCTGCACCAGACCTGCTTCCTGCCCAGCCCTTGCTCCAGGACTAGACACTGCCTACCTTTGAACTCCTGATTCCTTACTCCTGGCTCTGACCACTGGCTTTTCTCTTGGCCATGACCTCGACTTTGCCCTTTGGTTCAATTCTGGCACCTGGCTCTGACCATTGGCTTGCCTCCTGACCATACCCCCAATTCTCCCCTTTGATTCTCCTCTGACCATAGGCCAAACTCCTGCTCCAACCAGTGGGTTACGCTGCCTATATGTCAGTGTGTGACAACAGGATCTCAAAGGGAAGAACCACAGGTACCTGAACTCAGGACTGCTAGGTAAACACAGTTACTACAGGGTCCCAGCCAAGGAGTGGGGGAATTGCAAAATTGCAGAAGAGGTGACGGAACAAGGCCTGAGACCTGAGGGGCTGCACTGAGAGAGACAAGAAAGGGAACAGAGATGCAGCCGTGAAAAGTACTTTCTTAAATACTTACAAAGGTTGAGGCCTGCCACAGCACAAAGAAGAACAGCAGTTAAGCATCAATTAACCTAGAAGTTTAACCCAAAGTCCAAAATTTTTAGTCAGTTAGGCCCTAATCCTATATTTGACAATGCACAGGTCGAGTGCTGCACCTGCATGGAGCAACTTGAACAGGGTTCTGCACAGACACAGCAGTCTGTCTGCACTGCATCAATTGCAGGATTAGAGACTTGGAGTCCAATTCTGCAGCTATTCCATACACAGATTGTCCATTGACTTCGATGTAGGGCAGGTGCAGGATCGGGCCCTTTGTTAATACTAATAGGATCTCTGAACATTTGTTTAAGTCGTACCAAAAAAAAAAAAAATCATGCAGACCAGTCTTACCACTTCCTCAGCACGATCACCTTTACTAATGAGGTAGGTCACTCTGAACTGGTGAATGTTGTTGTCTGAAACATCCCATGTCACTCTCAAGCTTGATGTGGTTTCATCATCTATAACAAGGTTTCGGATTCCTGTTCGAAAAACTAAAAACAAAAATAAAAGTAACTCAAAAGAACAGGTCATAGACCCGATTTAAAACAAGTCTTTGGAAGTGTGTCACTCAACAATATTTCATATTCATTGTCACCAAGCAACAACAGCCACACTCCCATTTCTATGGAAGTAATTATGGGGGTTTCAATAGGAACAGAAATGAGCCCCAAAAATGCTACCAGAAATGAATGGATACTGATCTTAAGGAGCAATAAATATTATATAAATGTCCTCCATTATTTCATTTATTTATATGACACCTATCCTTGGCTCTCTAGGGGTTTTTAACCTGTACAAAAGCTCAGTTTGCTATAGAAATCACTATTATAGACAGGCAACCTATATTTAGAAGCAAATTGTCTGATTCAAGAAAGCAATGAGGTCTTTTTTATTCTGTGTTTTGTACGGGGGCTACAACACTTTAGAGTACATTTTATTGACGTTCATTTCTTTTACCTGCTGTTGTGGGTCTGGAGGTTGCTGGACTAGTAGTAGCAATGCTGGTAGATACTGTAGTGGTCCTTGCAACTGAAAAATAATACTCATTCAGTGACATTTCAGAAAGATCTGGAAGCCATCTGTGTACTCTTTTAATGCCAGCTATGGAAATATTTTCCTCTATTTAGAACTATGACCCTGAGCCAACTTACCCTCATGTACCCACTTCATTTTAAGTAAATGAGTCTATTTAGCACCTTTCAAGAGCACTACATTCAATGTATAAGATGATATTCTGAAGAGAATGAAACAGTGGAAGGCATTATGTACTTCCTAGTTAAATTAGAAGCAAAAAAGATTCATATGTGTATCTGTGGGAAGAGGTGGGAAAGAGGCGGAAGGGGAGTGGGAAAAGGCGGGGCGCGGTGGGAAGAGGCAGGGTGGGGATGGGGACTTCAGAGACGGGTGTGGGGGCAGGGCCTGGGGAGGAGCAGGGGCAAGAAAAGGTGGGATGGGGTGGGGTCTTAGGGGAAAGGGGCAGGACCTTGGGTGGAGCAGAGGGTTGAACATCCCCTGGGCCCGGAGGAAGCCGGCGCCTATGCCCATGACTTCTCTTTAAACAACAGAAAGACATCCAGAAAGACAATGATTTAGAGACTTCTCCCCTTGCTAAATTGTTCCAATGGTTAATTACCCTCACTGTTAAAAATTGGCACCTTATTTCTAATCTGAATTTGTCTAGCTTCAGCTTCCAACCACCACTAGAATCACCCTTCAAGTGTTAGGAGGGTAGGCCAGGTTTCATGCCCATTCTTATATTTAATGTGTCTGCTGAGAAAACTAACAAGGTTGCTAGCAAGGCCAACAAATTACATTGTTGTTGCTATACACAGTCATAGCCATGTCAGTCCCAGGACATTAGAGGGACAGACAAGCTTTCAAGCCACACAAAGCTAAACATAACAACAGCAGCACTACTGATGCAAGGGCTACATGCATGGGCATAGATTTCTTGCCTAAATAAGGGTTACAGGACCAAGCCAAAGTTTACTAAATATATATGTATGCCTCGATTTGAATCAAATAAATTTTCCTGTTTACAACTGAAAAAATGGTTTCAACTTAACCAAGTCACTGCCCAAAAAAGAAAATAAAATGTGTGTGAACTTCTAAAGAATGTTGTCTGATGATTTTTTATATTTTCTTACTTAATAGACAAAAGGGATACACACCAATTCACGCCTTACTGTGTGTAATGCAAGACTATCCTAAGCTAGTTTTCAGTAGTAATTCATAGTGCTAACACCTTTATACAGTTGGTCAAAAAATTAAATAATCTTGCCCGCTAATAAATTCATTTTATATTCAAGAAAAGAAATTGTTGTGCAAATCCTTTACTCTTCTTTCCTAAGGGCTTTATTGAGCACAAAAGAACCACGTCCTCCCATTAAAACTACAGACGACCGTTTGTTAGAAACAAAGCACAGAGGCCCATGAATATTTATTTTTCATGTTCAGAGATGTCTGCTGCAAAGAAAAGGGACTTTGTTAGATGAGCATCATAATTTAGAGAATCTGCAGGGCTAAAAATAGCTTGTAGATTGCCTCAGAAGTCGAGTTTTAAACTTTCAGAATAAACCCATTTTAGAGATGGTTAAGAAAGGGAAGCACTGATTAGACACAAAGATGGGTGGGTAAAAGAAAGACACACTGAAGAAAAGAAATATGGAAAAGATGGATGGAGACAGACAGGTAAGAAAAGAAAGAAATGGATGGAGACATGGACAGACAGACAGATGGAGGCTGTCAGGGCATCTTTCACATTTCAGAAAGGGAGTGTAGTAGAGATTTTTTAAGATACAGAAAAGTACACCTAAATATGGATTTAGTGTAGGTGCTGGTTTGATTCAGTAATTCATCTCAGTTCAGCAAAGCACTTTAAGCATATGCTTAAAGTTAACCATGTCCTTCTTTGCTGCATAGGGATGTGCTTAAATGCCTACATGAAGTAGAGACTTTAAACACCCAAGCTGGAAACACTGGCCACAATGTCCACTATAAGCCATCTATGTTTTCTTCTGACTTCAGTGACAGTTGCACAGGCACTGATGTAAACATACAGGGCCAGATCCTCAGCTGGTGTAAAATCAGTGCAACTCCACTGATTTCAATTAAATGACAAATGTGTGGATGAGAAAGATACACAGTAAATGTCAAATATTTTTGAAAAGTGTTTACATTAAAATATTTTCATTCCAAAACTAAATCTAATATAGCTTTTAATTAAATATCCTTCCCCCAGACTAAATATTGATGCCTAGGACCAAAGAATGTTAAATAATCTGTGAGCCAAAGACGTGTAACCAGAGACAGTCTAATGCTATTTAAGCTGGGAGGGCAGCCAAACCTTTCCAGGTTGGATGCCTTCTACTACACAATATTAAATAAAAGCACAAAATATGTCTCCAAAGCCTTGATGATAAATCAGTATTAGAAGCAAGGGACAGGCTATATTTTAAACATAAGCTTCATACATTATACTTTAAAGTATATAAAGCTCTTTAAAACAATACAACCATTAGTTTTTGTCTTACGTGTAGTTCCAAGAACAGCAACAACATCACTTTCACTTTCATCACTGTAAACTGCCAGCAAAGAAACTTCATACTCCGTATCGGATAACAAACCCTCAACAACATGCGTGTCCTTGTCTCCATCTAAGACAACCTAAAAAACAGAGCAATATCTAGAGAGACCATTCCCCACTTTTTACTGTTGTATTTGATTAGCTTTATAAAAACTTTATTGAATTATAGGAAAGACAGATTTCAGCACCTAAAATATACAGTCCGATATACCAAACTACTCACTAATAATTTGTTCAGTTCATAGATCGAGATTAGAGTTAATCTATTGCCAGTTTTATTGCTCTGCCATGTAACCTTATACTGTGTCCCACACAAATAATGTTAGCTTACAGTTAAGGCTAATCAAGTTTGTTTAATTTGAAAGCAATCACTAAAACTCAAGGAACTGATCCCCAGAGGCCTAACTCAAACATCATGATACCAAAACACATTAGTCAACTCAGCAGCCTTGGACCCTTTCGACCTCAAAGTACAAGTACCTACGAAACACACATCCATTTCCTCAATGTTTCACTTAATCACAAAACTTTAGCTCTAACCTCTGCAAAATTAAGGTAATTTACCAATACATATACCTGTAGTTGAAAAACCAAGAATGTGTTATTACAATCTAAGAAATTATAAGGTCAGAGTTCAGATTCTGTATTTGAATGTGAATTTGGGAAATTGAGTGTTTTGTAGGAGGGAACTGAAAGGTAGTTTTTGTTGCTGAGCTGAAGACTATGGGCACTTGTGTGGATATGACGATGTGTGGTTGGGAAAGCATGGATTGTCTTACACGGTGATCTTTATTTTTAGTGATTGCATTGGCAGGAAATGCATTTGAGCAACATTAACTGTATGATAAAGTTTTTGTGTGGGGATTTCCCTGTTTCTTCATGTTTAAAAATGGAATTGGGCAGTTCAGTGGCTAACAGTGGATACAGGAAGAAAAGGAGTACTTGTAGCACCTTAGAGACTAACCAATTTATTTGAGCATGAGCTTTCGTGAGCTACAGCTCAGACTCAGAGATGGAGAGGGCTGTGCAAGACTGACCCCAGGATGAGGGGAAGTGAGGAGTGGTTCTGGTGAACTGGGTTGGCAGGTGGGTTTGGGACAGTGCGTTTAGGCCACACTGCAAATATTGATATGACTTCCTGAGGCAACACTGGCAGGCTTTTAGGGATGGACACTCATCTTATCATCTGAAGGGAAACAAAACCACCCCAGTAATGAGAACCAAGCAAAGTGGGAAGCTATTTGTTCAGTATACAGTGGCTTTGAAGCACTCAGTCAATATAAGTAGCACAATATCTTTATTCTGTGCATAAAGACATGCTGCAGTGTGAATGTTTCTTAATAAACAAAGAGGCGCAAATCCAGGAAAAATTTCCTGTGGTGGCTTATGGCCCACGAAAGCATTACAGACTCCTGGGCTCTGCAGATACAGAGACTGTTCCCAATTCAACGAGGAGCGGGTCTGGTCTTCTGAAGGTACAGAACTTTGAACTGGCACCCTGCACAAAACACTTTTTGGCATAGATATTTTTAGGCAAAATTCAGATGCAAGTCTGAGTGAGTCTACGTGGAATCTAAGCTGGTATAACTAACACCTTCTTCCAGCTTCCCCCACCCGCCCATAATGCATGTCAAACCATCTTAGACACCCAAGACTCACCAAGACTTGCTAACTTACATATGACTCACATCACTTACCAATGTGTAATTTACACCACCCGTACACCCACACCCACACGCACCCGCACCCACTCTGGACCATTGAGCCTAAAAGAACCTCAGGCAGTCTATGCTGGTGCAACTAACAAGCCAAAGGACCATAAGAGAGGAGTGTAACAAGCAAATCAACCAAATTGAGGGTATAATAATGTGCACCCCCTATGCTAACATACACAAAGAGCTATCCTTGATCATGCACATTTTAAAATCTTATTCCAGCTCTTTGGGTAAGTTACACCAGCCTAGACTCTGCTACACATTGGTAGAGTTGGTGTAAGTAGGCCTCACTTACAAACCCTTTCGCATCACTCTCAGAATTTGGGTCCCTAACTCTACCCAGTTAAATGGCAACCGCTCTTGGGAGCGATGGTGAGTACGCTGTATTACCGCATGGCTGATAAGGCAACTGGGAAAGAAGTTTAAAGAGGCAGCAGCCTGGAGGTACTGTGCTATCCGTAGCCTGACCACATTACAAAGGTCAACTGAGGAGAACAATGAAGGAGCCAGGGTATTTTTTATATTTTAAAATGTAAAAATATCGGCACTCTGCAGCATTTTCCAATGAGTGAACCATTCTCCCTGATAAGAGAGGGACCCCATATCAGCAGATATTTCATGATAATTTTATAAATATAGACTAACACAAAGTGATTTCAAAAACACCACAAGGACAATAATAAGCTCCAATCCAAAATACACACCAGTCAAAGAGACTCATTGGCAACCACATTTTCAGGGTAGGTACTTGAAATAAACGTAGTAAAAAGTAAGTCCAGGAAAAGGGGAACCCTAACCCATCTCATGAGCAGGGGAACTCCAGTGCGTGACAGGCCCATCAACTAGCTCACTTATAAATTCCTCCTTTTGCTTGCTTACCCTTGAAATTCATCTCATCACACGAGCATCTCCGTCCAGGTGTGGGAAGACAGAAATAGGGCAAGGCTATTTTCCAGAAAAGCTCCAGCTTCACTGCACTAGTAGGATTGAGTCCTACTCACACGGCTTCTTCTCTGCTACAGAGGAGGAGGAAATGCCGCCAAAAACCCAAATCTGGCAGTGCTTCCTCTACCCCCGCAGATGGCATTGTGCATAGGGAGATGCTCTCCCCTTCCACAGTGGAGTCGCTAGCAGAAAGAGGAGAGGAACCGAGGTGGGGTGGGACAGTAGAGGATCATATCACTGAGTAGAAAAATGTGGGCACAGGATGAATGAGAAAAGAGTAAGCGGTGAGAGACTGGGCAAACAGTGAATAGAGAAAAAGGGGTGGAGAGAGAATGGGACAAAGAGAGATGAAAGGTAGACAAGCAAAGGTTAAAAATATGAGCAGAAAGGATAAATAAAGAAAAAAATCTTGAACTAGAGAACAAAACAAAACAAAACCTTTTAAAAGGATGAAACATTTAAAAATGTTGCCTGAGGACAAGCACAGCTATAGTGAAAGAGATGCATGATGATGATCTAGAGTGAAAAGTAGAGCACAGAGAGAGAAAGGGGAAAGAGGAGAAACACAAACACAGGATACCACTGTAATTTATTAATTGTGTGTAAACTTTGTCAAATGTTTTGAATCTATGGTTTTATAGGAAGTTTTACTGTTTCCAATTGATTAAACAAACCTAGAACATATGCTCATCCCTTTGCTGGGCACATCACCCACCCGCCCCTGGAGTGATCATCTTGTTTACCTTCATCTTTTTCACTGGAAAGCGGAAGAATTTGAGCATTCCAAGAACTGGGAGTAACAGAGAATGGAAGGCAGATTCTACGGGAATTGGCGCATTAGAGATTAGGTAGCTAATTTCCATGAGTTCTCTTCCCTCAGGGTTTATCTACAAAGAGACGCTGAAACATTGGTTCAGTTTAATTTTGGAGGGCTTCATGGTAAGCCAGGCTGTCCTCTGAATAAGTCAAACTGCCATGCATCAGATTACTGGGATTTTGCTTTGCTTAGCTGGCAATATATTTTCAACAGCACTGGGCCTCTCGAAGTGGAATGTATTTCCTCTTCCTTTTGTGTAGCATCCATACCAGGACCTACGAGAGTCAAGAAAACTCACCTCTTCAGATGCACCCCCATTCAGTGGGGTCCATGCCAATCTGTAGCGAGCAATATCAGAGGAGATGTGCTTCCAATTGACTCTAAAACTATCTGTTGATACTTCATCTATTTCCACATACTGTGGGGCTGGAACTTTTTCTGCAGAACAATGTTATGCAAAAGAAAGAAGAAGAAGAAGAAGTTAAAATTTGTAAAAATCTTAAAACTACACAAAATGGTGATGTTCAACAAGCCCTTTGTGGGCTGTAATACTTTGGTCTCATTTCAGTTGTTGGGTTCGGTGTGCAGGTGCTGGGTGCTGGGGTGGCCTGTGATATAAAGGAGGTCAGACTAGATGATCTGCTGGGTCCTTCTGGCCTTAAACTCTATAACTTTCTGTGACTTTTTTAGCTATAGCTACCTACACAAAATAGAACATAGGGGATAGCTATCAAAGGTACCTCTGGTTATACTCACACTTGGTGATTCTCAAGGAGGCTCGGTATTTTCATCCTGATATACTTACTTAGCCATCGAGTGAGCAACATTATTATCACCCTGTTATTAATTATATTACGATATTGTCTCTAAGCCTCAACCAAGATCAAGATGCCACTGTGCTAAGTATCATACAAACACAACACAGTTCCTTCCCCGAAATGGCTCACAGTCTAAATAGGCAGGGAGGCAAAGGGTAGGAGAAAGGAAATGTTATTGGTATTATTGTTTTATGAAAACAATACTTTGCTCAGAAAAACTGTACTTAAGCGACATCTACACAGCAAAACTAAATAAATAAATAAAAATCCCCACAGGAATGAGTCTCAGAGCTTGGATTGCCAGACGTAGGCTGGCGCTGGAGGGCTAAAAATAACCATGTCGACGTTCAGGCTCAGGCAGGAACCTGAGCTCTGAAGCCCAGCCATCGGTGAGGGTCTCAGAGCCTAGGCCCCAGCCCAAGTGGGAATATGTACACTGCTATTTTTCACCCCGCAGTGTGAGTCCCCCCAGCCGAGTCAGTTGACTCAGGCTCTCTGCTGTAAATCTTTTTTTTTTTTTCTTGCTGTGTAGACATCTCTTAGTTAACAGTGCCAGCAACATTGGATTTTCTATCCCTGTAACTTGATTCCTGATAGTACTACAGTTTAGGGGCAACATTTCTGCATCACAGCATGTGGAGAGAGCAGACAAATTGATGGAAGAGTAAAACCCTTCTACATCTTAAGTCATAAATGCAAATCCTGGATAGATTAATAAATGTCAGTCTGGTTCTAAACCTCCTTCTGAGATTTGAGGCTTGACTCATAAAACAAATGAGAGCTTATTACATGAGGTATGTATGTTCTTTGTGAATATAAAATGTGGTATATACTTTTGCAATTCGTTACATCCATACTTCCTGTGGGCAAATGGAAACACCTTCATGTTATGAATGCACAGGAATGGAGGGCGTTCAGCACCCCTCCAAAACTGCTCAGCACCTCGCTGGATCAGGCCCTTTACCTTATTTTTAACAAGGGTGTCGCTATTTGGCAGCATGGCCAGCAGGTGAAGCTTCCCCTGGGGGAGGCTAGCTCCCTAACCCGCCTCTTCTTCCTGTGGCCCTGCCCACACTCCACCCCCGCTCAGCACCAGGCCCCGCCCCATCCTGCTCAGCCCTCCCACTGCCGTTCACTATATCCCTTCTCTCCTCCCCCCTCCTCCGCCAGGCTCCCACTGCCCGCCATGTCCCTCCTCTCCTCCACCCTGCTCCCCCACGGGGGTGGGGGTGAGGGGGTCTCGCAGGAAAGAAGGGACACGGTAAGCAATTCCAGAGAGGGAGGCATTGGAGGAGAGGAGGGACTCACCAGGCAGCGGTGGGGACCTCGGGGAAGGGGCAGAGCAGGGATGAGAAGAGGTGGAGTGAAGGCAGGGCCACCACAGCTTGGGCATCCAGCGGCGGGGCAGCAGTGGCTGTGCCAGGGAAGGCTTAGCCTCCCCTGGCCTATTATACCCACCGCCCATGCTGGGTAACTTGTGTAGGCCGAGTTCATTACACACACCAGCAGCTCCTTGCATCCCTCCATTTCACCTCACAAGCTCACTGTGTGCCACCCTCCCATCCCCCTCTATTTCAGGGACTCCCCGCAATCTCCTCCAATCTTCCCCGTATCAGAGGTTCTGTGTGCCCCCTCATTCCTCCCACTCCCCCGCATACCTAGGCTCCCCATTTTACCCACCTGCCATGGCAAAGGCTGTATGTGCACCCATTTCTCTTCATCTGTCCCTTTTCCCTATGCCAGGGTCTTCCATTCTTACACACACACACACACACAGGTTGCATGTGCATGCCAGGCACCATTTCCCCTGCCCCTCAGTTATTTTTTGCTTTGGAGATGAGTAGTTCAGGGTGTCAATATTCTAAACTCCATTGGGAGGAGGAGCAGTGATGAGTGAGGGATATTGTTATGCTAGACAGTAATGGGTGCCATCAACCAGTTATTTGATTTACAGACAGTTGCAGAGACACTTGAATCTGTGGCTGTGCTAAACAGATGACAGGGCTTGACTATGCCTCCTCTTTTCCCTCCTTTTCGTTTTCTAATTTTCCCAAAAATCAATAGAGTTCTGACCACTGATGCCTAGAACATTCATTGAAATCTTGGAATTGACCTGATGTAGCATTCGAATGTTATAATGCTACACAAAGACATATGGAGAAATGCCATAAAAGTGAGAGCATGACGTGGCAAGCTCTGCCAAAAAATTATTTTACTACTTTACTAGAAATAAAGGATACAAAATATCGCTGCTCCTGCAACCTTTACATCCTTGGTCACATGAGTATTTTAATGATGTCATGGATTACTCACATAAGCAAGGATTGCAGCTTTGGTCCCATAGTCAGGACATAATAAAGCTGAAGGACTAAAAAGTTTTTCATGAGAGAAGAATGCAGATGCTCATTTCCAGGGAATGAGTGCAAACTTCCAACTACTTTACACTGCTAGATGAGAGATTGCAAAACGGGTACTACATTGCAGATTCTGCAAAGAAATTTACAGGGTCTAAAAGAGCAAAAAAAAGTTTAGTTCAGTAATTTTAGATTTACTAAGCCTTCCAGTCCTTAAATTTTTACTTTTTATAAACACCGAGTAATCTGACAGTGGAGATGCTATTTGCTACATTTTAGTGGTATAGTGCTCCCAAAACGAATAAAAAAGCAAAAACACCCCAATATTTTGTAATCATGGTTGGAAACTGTCACAGTTACTGGTCTTGCTTTCCAAAAAAGTAAGTGAATATCAAAGGTGTTCTTGGAAAGCCTTCAAATATGCAGTTAGACTTACTTGTAGTAAAGCTGCCAGTCAGCGGCTCAGACTGTCCTTCATCATAGAGGGAAAAAATGGCAACAGTATATTCTGTAAGGGATGTCAGCCTTTTCAGGGTGTATGTTGAAACACGATCAGCTTCCACCTGCAGAATTAATAATTTGTAATAGATACTGTCATGTGCTAGGAATACAGGAAACAAAACCCCTTTACGTTATCAGTGCCTGCAAGTCGGCTGGCTACTAATGGATATGGACAGAGAATGTCATGCAATTATGAAAAGAGCCACGAATTATATAATTATATGCAACATTTACATTATGAATGAAGGTAAAATCCAGGTCATCAAAACCTATTAAAATTAGATAGTCTAGATTGTAGCAAACTGGAGGAAGGGAGAATTAGAGAAGCCACAAGTATAAAGACATTTCTGACATATGAGTATTTTATGTTTAATATTTGTCATAAAAAGATGTTCACAGGGTTGTTGTAGCCATGTTGGTCCCAGGATATTAAAGTTAAAAGGTAGGTGAGATAATATCTTTTATGGGACCAATTTCTGTTGGTGAGAGCTTGTCTCTTTCACCAACAGATGTTGGTCCTATAAAAGATGTTACCTCACAGACACACCCTTCTCCCTCTAATAAAAAATGATGACAGTTTTCTTTGGTCTTCAGCCAGAGTACATTTAATGTGGCATTAAAGGAGGCATAAACCTCAGAAAGCTGCATAAGCTAGCTGTATATCAGGGCATTCAATGTCAAGTCAGATCAGGGCACAAAGAACAAGACACAAAAACAAAGCAAACTGGAAAAAATATGCGACCTATTTTATGAGCAAGAAAACTGAAGAATATATATCACCAACACATTACATATCAAGCTCTCACCATATAAAGTATGCATATTACATTACTATGTATCTGAGATGTTCACATACCATGGTGATGGTTTAGACAGACATTAAAAACCTCAGAGATGCCCAGATTATAAATCAACTACAGAATGGGATTAAGTGAAGCTTAATTTATTGACAAATGTTAAAAGACATGGAAAAACTACTTATAGCTTTTCCACCCATGAGGTACATTGTCTTCCAAACTTGAGGGTAACCTGTCTCAGTTTAACATGGATATTTATCCCATTTGTAAGAAAGAACTGACAACTCTTAATAGTCATAGCCACAGGCTAATGTCAGAGGCTTTTATACCATATTTTATTTGTACAGGATATGGTCTGTTTATATGATTGGCTCCATTTACTGCAACTATTTATTTAAACGTTTTTCATATATTTTGTCTGATTTTTGTATTATGATGTTTCATTCCATTTAGAGAGGCTGCTAATGGTGCATAGGCTGGTGAAAGCTATAAGGAAAGTTCTTCTAGTTACAATGCAGATGTCAGATTGATAAACTAAGTATTATAACTAAGGGAATGTCTACACTGCAATTCAAAACCCATGGCTGCCCCTGGGCCTGTTGATTCAGGCTCACTTTACAGGGTCCTAAAGCCTGGGCTCCAGACTGGGCCCGGAAGTCTACACTGCAGTTAAACAGCCCTGCAGCCCACGCCCCATGAACCCGAGTCAGCTGGCATGGGCCAGCCCATGGGTATCTGACTGTAGTGTAGACATACCCTGAGAGTCCAAGTCTGAAATAGGTTGTTAAAGTCAAGTGATATCCTGCCTAAAGAAAACACTCATACCTATTCTGAGCCAAATCCTACTTCTGTTGGAAGTCAGTTTTTCCTCTTATATGTAACTATAGCAATAAAATTAACAAAACGTAGTAAAATCCCAGGCAGCCAAGTTTTTGGGTAAATTTCTTTTAAAAATGAGCTTAAACTCAGAGCTCACAGAAGTCTGGGAGCTTCATTATCTGGTCTGATCCACAGTAGGTATTTTGGATACTGTCCACTTAGGTCAGGGGTTCTCAAACTGGGGGGTTGGGACCCCTCAGGGGGTTGTGAGATTATTACGTGGGGGTTCGCGAGCTGTCAGCCTCCACCTCAAACCCCGTTTTGCCTCCAGCATTTATAATAGCGTTAAACATAAAAAAGTGTTTTAAATTTATAAAGGGTGGGGGGTCGCACTCAGACGCTAGCTGTGTGAAAGGGGTCACCCGTACAAAAGTTTGAGAACCACTGACTTAGGTCAAAGGTTAGATCCTACAAACACTTACTTACCTGAATAGTTCCATTCACTTTACTATGAGCATAAGGAAGGAGTGCTCATGCAAGTAAGATTTTGCAGGATCAGATCCCACATGGGTGTGATGCACTCTGAATACATTCCCTGTATTAAGCATAATGTTCCATGCACAGAGTTTGAAAATTATAAGTAAATCTTTTGTTACAGCTTGAAAGATCTGATTTGTTTACAGAAATTACACTTAAAAGTAAGACTATGGTACATTATTAACTGCTTACCTCATTGGTTTCTGTCCCATCAGTTTTAACATACATAATACGATAACCATTTACGTTTTCGGAAGCAGGATCCCATGTTATCCTAGAAGTGCTGTGTCCGATGTCTGAAAATCTCAAGTTCCTGGGTGGACTTAAAGGCACTTGAAAAATAAATAGTTACAGTCATGAAAATAGTTCTGTCTTTTATTTCATCCACTAAGCACATTCTCTCTTGACAATGAACATGAAACACTGTTTTAAAAGTGATAATATTAAGCAATATGACTGACAGTTTTGTTTCTATACCCTTTTCAGTTTAGACCACTAGTCAGGAAAGTACTTAAGCACATCTTGAAATTTAATAGCTGTGTAGTGCCATTGATTTCAATGGGACTGCATTTGTGGTTAAAGTTAAGTATGTGGTTAACTGCTTTGCTGAATCAGAGGCTAAAGCATTGGCAAGTATAAGTGCCATCATCACTGTTGAATATTGAAATTGAAAGAAATGGAAGTGGGGATCCTGCTTGCTGCTGGATAGCAGAGTTGGATTTATACCATACAACATTTTCCTCACCTGTGCATTTGGATTTGTAAATTGATTTGTGTTAACTGTATCTGTGCTCCATGTGTTTGTTAGTGGAAATGGCACCTTTTAAATGATTATATGGTAGTTTCAAAAGTCATCTAATCAAGAAACAGACAATGCTGGGTGATGTTTATAGCTAACCACAAAGGGAATTGCAAGTGTTAAATGCAAATACACCGTAACAATTCATATATGGAGAATATTTGACCTCAAAATTCATTTTTCACATCTTTTTATGCTAGTGATGCTCAGTCAAATATTTGCAGAAAGTGAAAACAAAAGGATGGCAAACATGGTAAATTCAAATGAATATTAGTGAAAACATTTCCATTATTAGTTCAGCTTTAGTTAACACCAAACTTCATTCACAAATCCATTACGTTACCTTCATATTTTCCTAATCCACGTTCAGCAGAAGGGTAAATGCACACTGTATATGTTCACAGAATACTTAACTTATTGTAGAAGTTTCAGGACTGACAAAAACCAGTTTGTTTTTTAAAGACCTTAGCAAAGGGAAAAAGGTTTCTAAGATAAGAAGTTAAGTGAATTCAGGATGGTTTCTCTTCAGCATATAAGAAAGTTAGGTGAAAGTTAGCCTTCCATAAGTCTAATGGAACATCTGACCAGAGATTTCTCCACTTCTTGGGCAAAGGGAACTGACAAGATCGATAGAGCTGCTAGCTGTTCAACACTTATTACATTTGTCCCTGATTACATAGGCGATTCCTCTGTAGGCAAGATTACATATGAATGGAGTGTTCTCCAAGCAGTTAAGGCCTTCTTCCCGCTATATACTGATTGGCTGGTGTAAAGGGGTGGAAGAGGGGACTATGCTACATATACAGTCACAGTCTGCTTCCTGGTTTCCCCTCCCCTGTGGGGGAGGGCGCGGGTACTATCGCCCGTTTCTGGGTTCCATTCTGTCCCATGGGTAGAAGCTGTGCAGGGAGCAGGCATACAGATCTATGCAGATCCAGTAAAGCAAGGAGAGAACAGAACCTGGACTGCCTGGCATTTACTGCCTATTAAAAACATGCTACCTATCATAAATGAGGGTGCTCTCCAACCCTTAGTTCTGCAGGAGGCTCCTCCTGCTCCTTTTTCCAAAAGGGGTTCTGTCCCACACTAGGGCTACTGTTGCCTTCTCTCCCTCTTCTAGATATAGCAGCGTTCAGCTGGAAGATGCTGTTCTTGGTGACGGGGAGCCCTCATCCCCCCATTGAACTTTGGCAGGTTCTGACCCTTAATTAGCAACTAAATACCAGCACTGGCCAAAGACCACCCTGGTGCTAGTACTGAGAGCTAGCGATACCTGTGGCTGAAAGAAAAAAGTAAGTGATAGGATCAGAAAACAGAATGGGACCATGCACCCTGAAGCCCACATTTCAACAACCTGTTATAAATGTGATCTGTTGTAAACAGAAAAAACAGAAGGACCTACAGGAAGTTACCTGGGGGCACATGTGCTCTTTTTAATTCCATCAACCAATCTCCCACCTACAAAGGAGAAACAACAATGGTCCAAGAACAGCCACCTGGCCTCTCACAGGTCCCTTCCTGGTGCCTGAAGTATTATTAATTCTGGATCTCTTTGGTTTGCAGTCCTCTGTTATGATCCAAGTGAACTTTACTCTCTTATCAGAGGGCTTCCCTGCCTTCTCCATCTTCTCACTGCATTATTCCCTTACATCCCCAACCATCTGATGTCTTAATTTGCTGTGTTAGCTACCTGTTCTAGATTGTACAGTTGTCTGTGAAGAGCTATGTGCCCCAACGGTAATACGTAAATAATAACTAAGTATATTAATTGAAGAAGAAAAGTAAATAGCTGATACTAATAATGTCCTCACAGCAAACGAAGTCTAATCAGATCATTAGTTTTCATTTTAAAAGGTGGCCAGTCAGAATCTGGTATCATGTGTCAGACTGAGAGCAACCCTTCCCAAGGGGAAAGCAAGACACTTCCCTTCCCACTTGTACAGCTGCACAAAGACTGCTCTCAATAGTGGTGCTTGTGAGCGAGGAAGAGCTGGTGCTACTCATTCCTGGACCCCCTGGGGAACAAGATGCTAAAAAGGGAGAGAGAAAAAAGGGAGGGAAAAGGCAGGGCAGCGCCACAAAACCACAAGGTAGTCCTAGGTAATAAAATAAAATAATAATATATGGCCAGCTTCTGCCACCCTCACTCATGCTGAGTAGTATCTTCCTGTGCAATTAGTTCCACTGAAATCAATAGGGCTATCAGCAGCACAAGACACTACCCAAATAAGTAAAGGTATTAGAATCTGGTCTATGGAAAACATGCTCTTTTGTGGAGAATTATATACTGTACCTGGTCCTATAATATACAGTACTCTGTCTAAATTAAATAGCAGCAGCAGGAAACTGAACTCATCCAAACCATAATGCACAGTATGATCTCCTCTCAGTTACTCCTCTATACAGATTTTAAAATCTGAGATCTATTTTCATACATACAAAGACCTCCTGGAGTTTTATTACTGCTGTATAGTGAATACAGATGTGTCTGACCTACATGTTGTTTCTTGTCCTGTCAGGGGGTCACTAGCTTCTTCTCCAAACATCGCATAAACTGTGACTGTATATTCTGTGTTAGGCAATAATCCATCCAGTTCAATATCTGTCAAGGCCTCTCCAATTTTCATCTAAAGGTAATATGAATAATAGACACATTATTTCTAAACTAGCTCATGAGTGGAGAAAAACAAGCCAGGAGCATTTTTGTATAGGAGAAAAGTATATTCAATAGGGACAGAGCATATTTTTATAGAGCTGGTAAATGCCATAAAACTGAATAAAAGTAAAGGGCTACAATATGCCCATTTAGGCTCCAATTCAGCAGAGCACTTAACTTTCGGCACACAACTAATCCTTTGAGAGTCAATGGCACTATTCATGTGCTTAAAGTTAGGCATGTGCTCAAGTGCTTTGCTCAACAGGGGCTTCTGAGCACTGTAGTTAAACAGGAAATTGGTAGAGTCAAATCTTGCTCTGTGTTGACTCAAAGAAATTGATCAGCTGTACCTGAACACAGAACTTGGGCCAGTGAACAGTTTTGTTATTGCATAGAGCAATGAAATACCTAAAATTGTCTAAAAGGCAAACACCCCAAGGAAATGCCTAACATGAAGGTGGAGAGGATATAAAGGTAACATAAGCAACAACACAATAGCCCTCTGTTGCAGCAGAACAAACGGCCCTCAACCTCTCTTCAATATGCATCTATGCCTAAGAGACTGTTGAATCTTTATACCAGCTCAGTGGAAACTAATGGCCTCCAAATGACTGCTGAAGTGAGAATATTGCAATGAGGGGAAAGGACTCTGCCTCATTAATCAGAAGTCTGTCTACAGGCTGAGGCTTGGTTTTGCTTTTTGCTATTTCAGGTGTGTACCATTTTCCCCTTGAGCTCCTTCAGTAGGTGCCGCATTAACAGGGCTGATTTATTGATTGAAAGATCTTTCGACAGGGTGAGGCTCAGTTTTGCTGATGTCAGCTAGCTTTCAATGAGGCCCCATTTTCAAGAGGGCTACCTGATCATAACTACTCATTCTGCAAAGAACACAAGTCTATTCGAGCTCTCAGTGGCTTCCTACACCCTTTCCAGAATGTTGCATGCATTTGCCTGCTGTCAGTGAGTCCTTATATAAAATACTCTTAATTTCATATACAGTCAATGGAGCATAAAACAATTTTAAATCTTAGCCCTAAGACTGCACTAACACTATATTAGCGATTTCCAAAAATCCAGTGATATTTCTAGTGACAGCACAATATTCTGCCTATCATTTTATCTACTCGAGAACTGTACCTTACTCTGTCATTCTTGTTCTACTCAGAGTTATTCACATTTAAAATTAATGGTTTTATTCTTTCTAAAGCTAACTTTAAAAACAAAACAAACAAAAAACCTTAGACATTTATTAAACATAAAAGTTAGAATGAAAACAAAACGTAGAAATGTCAAATTTACTAATTTAAGTTGATTTACTTTTTTAAAAGTCCAACTGTAAGCAAAAAGACTAAAACTTCATGATCTTCTAAATCCATTTTTCGGAAAGATCAAGTCATTTGTGTTTTGCTTTCTTTTTTTCCTGTGTTTGCATTTTTGCCTTCATGCTATGATACAATATTGCCTCATGAGTCCAAGAGACTCCCTTTATCTCAGCTATAACTTGTGGCATTTCTTCTGTTCTAAAGAGGACAAATTTGAAAGTACTGAAAATTAAAAATAACTACTTGGCATGCAGTTTGCATAGAAAGTCAGTAACATGTATGGTACTTTAAAAGCTAGGAAATAGACAAGATTTGAAGCTAAGGACCATCTGACATTTTGTTCTTTAAATGTTATGTTTTTGAATAGCTAGAATCCAAATGAAAGCTAAATACATCACCTCCTTTTCATCTGCTGCCAGTCCCTCTGTGAGGGGAGCATATAGGATCATATAACCAGTGGCACCCACTACTCCATTCCACTTTGCTCTCATGCTGCTCTGTGACACATCATACAATTGCAGATTTGATGCTGTAGGCAAAGCAACTGTGACAGAAAGAGGTACATGTTTTTCAATTGCATCTAAAAAAACTTGCTTAACATTTCATAAAGTTTTGTTTGACTATCGGAAACACAAAGAAATCCAGCAGAGTAAACACTGGAAACACTGTTTGACGTAATAACAAAGAGCTATAAAAAGATCTCTGAATTAGAGAGCTGGGAAAAGGGCTTTGTCATCTATCCAAGTCCCCAGACAGGGTTGGGTTGTTCTTACAGAACATTTCTAGTATTTTGCCCCAGTCAGATTTTCAATCCTACAAGAGCAAGGACTTCTACCCTTTCCCTTGGGAGAATCCTCAACAGTTTAACAGATATAGTTGGACCAAACTGCTCCATGCACAGGTCCCACCCCACCTCTCTTCTAGATCTGCATGGGGGAGAGGATTGGCGGTGGAGAGTGAGTAGAGCCACCATTAGGGGTAAGCCACATAGGCAGCCACATGGGCACTGAATTTTTAGGGGGTAAATTCTGCCTGGCAATAACCTCTTCACCCCCGCAATGTGTGGGAGGCATGTTCACGGTGAGGGGACAAGGTCAAGAGGAGCAACAGAAGGCTGGACTGTGTTCTAACATGGGGTTGTGCCTAGGGTCCTGGGTTACCTTAATTAGCCCTGCACATCAGTCAGGAGTGTGTGACTAAGTAGGCTGAACTAAGTCCTTAAAGGGGATGAACATGTTGACACATTAAATTATGGCGGTGCCATTGGAGCATAGAACTAATCTGGGTTTCTTTTTTAAAGAAAAGTTCCCTTTAACTTTTAAGAATAGCCCTCTATTTTGCCAGGTTTCAGAGTAATAGCCGTGTTAGTCTGTATTCGCAAAAAGAAAAGGAGTACTTGTGGCACCTTAGAGACTAACCAATTTATTTGAGCATAAGCTTTCGTGAGCTACAGCTCACTTCATCGGATGCATGCTGTGGAAAGTATAGAAGATCTTTTTATACACACAAAGCATGAAAAAATGGGTGTTTACCACTACAAAAGGTTTTCTCTCCCCCCACCCCACTCTCCTGCTGGTAATAGCTTATCTAAAGTGATCACTCTCCTTACAATGTGTATGATAATCAAGTTGGGCCATTTCCAGCAATGGCTCACATCTCAACTATTGCAACATCCTTCTCTCTGGCCTTGACAAATACAATCTTGCCCAGCTCATATCCATTCTAAATGCTGCTGCTAAGATCATTTTCCTAGCCTGTTGCTTTGACCATGTCATCCCTTTCTTTGACTCCCTCCACTGGCTCTACCTTTTCTATTGTATCAAACATAAGCTACTTGTCTTCACTTTCAAGGCCCTTCATGCCCTATCCTCACCCTCCCTCCCATCTCTCAATCACTATCGAGCCATTGACTCCTGCCTCCAATTGGCCCATGACACCAGTCTTCATTGGCCACTTGTTAAGTTTTCAAACAAGCACTTTCATCCTTTCCCCCATGCTGCGCCTCATGCTTGGGAGGAGGTCCCCATAAACAACTGCAAAGCTACCTCATTATCCTTCCAAGCCCTCCTTAAAACTCTCCTTTCTGGTGATGCCTACAAAAAGTTTGATAACAGATAGGGTACTGGTGTGCTGGAATCATTGTCCATCATGAAGACCAATATTATCTCATTGCTTCCTTGTACTACCTTGTCTGTCCATTTCTGTCTGTTGTCTCTTGGTTTATACTTATCTGTAAGCTCTCTGGGGTAAGGACAATCTTTTTGTTCTGGGTTTGTACAGAACCTAGCACAATGGGGTCCTGGTCCATGACTAAGTTTCCTAGGTGCTCCAATAAAACAAGTAATAAATAATAAGGAGACAGAGAGAGAGAAGGGGGACAAAAATATGGGAAGAAGGAGAGAGCGCTTCTGCTACAATTTTCAAATTAAAATTAATTGCAAATGTAAAAACTTTAAGAGCATATTAGACAAAGTTAATCTGCAGCTGGAGTAGACACCCAATAATGCCGATAACTGAAAAAAATTACATTAAGAGGAAATTTGACAGTAGCTAGAATAAATATAGGTATAAGAAATTTTCAAGAATTTCAAATAAATATACATTTGATAATTATTTTGCATTTTTCAAAGTGATTAAAAGATAGGCTCCTCTCTTACTTTTCTGTATTTTATGCATTTATGGCACTGAATATATTTATCTAAACAGCATACTACTGTAAGGTCATTTTTAATGTACTATATACACAAATATGATAGTTTTCACATTTGTGGTTAATTTTGTCAGTGTCACAAAAGGTAAAAAATGTAAAGTATAATTTTTCACAGATTTCAACTGGCATCGTGAAAAATACTTCCAAACTGCAAATATTTTATAACCTGGAGTGATTAATACTTACACATTTCAGACTGTTACTTATGACACTCAAAGATTTGTTTATATAACGCTTGCAGCCACACCACCTTGGGCTGTGATCTGATCGGATCTCAGAAAATAAGCAGGGCTGGGCTTAGTCAGAACTTGAATAGGTGACTTCAAAGGAATACCAGGTGCAACAGGAAATGATGCTATTGACTCAGTATGTGACACTCTTCCCGCTGAATCAGAAATTAACCTATTCCTAACAAGGTGTTATAGAACTACTTATTGAATACTTCACAGTGTTAAATGTAATTATCCTTACAACATCCCTGAGGTAGGGAAGTACAATTATCACAGATGGGAAACTGAGGCACAGAAAGTCAGAGTCACTTCCCAAGGAAATGTAGGCAGTCTGTGGGAGAGCAGGAAATTAAACACTTGTCTCTCCAGTCACAAACAGTCCCCTATCCACTGAACCTCCCATCATCACTTAAGGAACTAAGGTCAAAAAGTGGAAATAAGGCTGTATGCCTAAGCCATAGTTTAGATCCAGCCGCAGATCCAAACTGCTCCAAAGTCTAGGAGTGTTATGATTTAGAGCAGTGCTTCTCAAGCTATATGAGGTGGGGGACCGGCAATTTTTTTTTCCAATGTGCACGCAGACTGGCAGCCGATGGCTCGCGGACTGGCATCGGTCCACGGACCACCACTTTGAGTAGCACTGATTTAGAGGCTTGGTTTAGCCCATTACAGAGAGAATGTAACTGGGTCAAAGTTTGGGAAAATTTGGACCCAAGTCTTTAGTTCAGGCCCAAATCTAATAAATAAATGTCGGACATTACTAATAAAAAGAGCTGAAGAGAAAAAAAGACTTGATTCTGCATTCCTTACTCACATTGAGCAGTGCCTACTCACCCAGCGTTCAGTATTACTGAGTCAGGTCCATAACAAATTGAGTGAGGATACTTACGTGTAGTTTCACTACCACGGAGGCCCTCACTTGCAGCACTTATATATATAGCAAACACAGCTATCTGATATTCAGTTAGAGACATCAGGTTTTTCAGAACTGCTGTTGATACACTTCCATCCACCACTACCTGTTTGGGGAAAAATGCAATGAAATAAGTATAAAATAAATTAATTTTATTACTATTTAATCCATCTTATCAGTTTGTTTTATCTGTCGTATTTCTAAGACAGTCCTTGGCATGATACATAAATGTTAATCTATCTATGTTTAACAGGGCAAAAATGACATTTGTATCTTAGTATACAGTACAGTAGCCAGGAAACAGAATGGCAAAAATATGCATAACGCGGAGTCTTAAGGCAATACAAAGCAGCACTTTGGATCAAAGGAAATGTTAAAAATACAATTAACATAATGGAAATTAATGGACACTTTCTGATACGTTTCAGAGTAGCAGCCGTGTTAGTCTGTATTCGCAAAAAGAAAAGGAGGACTTGTGGCACCTTAGAGACTACCAAATTTATTTGAGCATAAGCTTTCGTGAGCTATAGCTCACTTCATCGGATGCATCATGAAAGCTTATGCTCAAATAAATTTGTTAGTCTCTGAGGTGTCACTTTCTGATATATTTATTATGTAATTCAAAATTTCATTATAGTACTGCATGCACATACCTGTGTACACACACACATACACACACACACCACGACAACAAAATCCCCAAAATAAAACAAAATATCTTCAAAAAATAAAACGCATTTAACCTCACCCTTTCATTATATTGCTTTTGTTGTCCTGTCTCCACTCTCCAACCCTTCCCATCCTGTCCTGAAATTTGTCTGATTAAGTTGTAAACTTTTTCATGCAGTGTCCTTGTTTTCACACTACCTCCAAAGCACTTAGTGAACTGTTGGTGCTACACAAATAATAAATATCCATCTGGCCCCCGTACTGGTCAGTTTTAGCCAGATTCCCAACTCTACATCCGTGGGTTTTTTTAAAATAAGTTATGTTTCCAAAGCTCAAACTCTATCCCTTCTGCCCCTTTCTGGTCCTGCATCCTTTGAAATAGCATCATACAGAGTTGGTCCAACAAGGAAAGCTGATGTATAAATAAAAACACAGTTTACCTATTGGATTTTAGGTCCTATCCTTGAACAATGTAATCACAGACTGTGGTGCATGTTTACACAGCCTGTGGTAGCAAGCCTCCAAGCCTGAGTCAATGTACTTGGGTTCATGGACTCACGCTACCAAGCTAAAAATAGCAGTGTACACGTTGTGGCTTGAAATGGAGCTCAGGCTCTGAAGCGGGCCTCAGAGCCTGTGCTTCAGCCCAAGTTGCATTTTAAAGTTCTGTCTACACAGCTACTTTTAGTGCAATAGTGCAAGTCCCACCAGTCTGAGTCTGTCGACCTGGGCTCAGAGACTTGCTGTCACGGGCTACCACTGACTGTGTAGATGTACCCTTAAATGGAAGCAGCATCAGGCCTGTGATCAAGTGCTCTCATTCCCAACTGGTGAATTCTTTCTATTATGTCTACTAGAAGTTTTCACAATCATGTAACTGAAAATTTTCCCCTCCATTACCTCCTCTGGTTGGCCTCCTCTAGTGGGATAGTACACAACTCTGTATTTTTCCACCTCGCCAGGTGCATGGGTCCAGCTAACACGGAATCCTCTGGCTGTTACCTCAGATGTGACCAAATTAGTAGGAGCTCCAAGAGTGGCAACAAATGTTCCTATATATGAGATAATATAAAGAAATTATTTTTACTCCTGTAAAATAATGATTTGTTTTTGCTCTCATTGCTGAGTTCCCAAAGATCTCTCATCATTAGAAACTGAATTAATTGGAGAGGGCATGTTTATTTAGGCAGTTTTTAATATTAACTAACTAAATAATAAAAATAATAATACATATACAATTCTCAGTGGGACCAGGCCTCATTGGTTTAGGTGGAAAACTTTACATGCAGCACACACAAAGGTTTCAGCACAAATGCTATTACAACTGCAATGGTTCTCCCAAGCTTCCCTGGTTGCCTGGCCTTCCATGTATTCACTCCCTCCCCAGGTGCTTCCAAACACCCTCTCCCCAAGTTCCAGAATCAGCCAGGAATCTCCATAGCTGTGAACCTGCTAAAGAACTCAGTAAGAGAGCCCGTCCCCTGTACTCCTTGGAAGGTCTGCAGGTGGGATGGTATCTGACAAGGCACCCTGGAGCTACACTCAGCAGACATTGCCCCCCCACACCCCTCGAGATACTTCACTGGTTCATGAGTCCTTTGATGGCCATGTCTTCCCCCCACATACAGACCATGGCCAGTCACAGATCCCCCTACCACCTGTGTAATTCTTAGGGGATCCAGGAGGAAGAGAGAAGCCTACTAATGCAATATCTTTTCAGAAGACAGCTTCAGATGCATGTGCAATGTAACCTTCCTCAGTGAGGCACTCCATAAGCTTAGGGAAATGCATCTGGCATTTGCATCTGCTGCATACGATTTTAAAGGGTCACAGCTCAGCCAATTCAAATCAATTTCTCTGGAACATTTCTACATTTGGTACTTTCTCAAGGAGGGCTATTTCTCTGATGAACTTCAACATTCTACCCCTAGCATTTTCAGCTGCTCAAAAGGTCCTAAGATTCAGCAGAATTTTTATGTACTTGTAATTTTTCCATCCCCACAACCTTTCCTCATACTCCAAAATGCTGGGTTGGTTTTTTTTTGCTCAGAGATTAAAAAATAAAAATAAAAAAGTTCAACTGCATGTAGAGACCAAGCCTGGGAAACTTCAAATTGAAAGGTGAACATCTGGCAAAGTTATGAGACTAAGAAAACAAGGGATTAGAATGGAAACCAGGGCACAGCCTTAACTAGCTTTATTCCTTCTCTGATTCATCCCCAAACCTGTACACCGAAAAATACCCTCTTTTTACCTGTTCACTGGTGATAGCTACAGCAGAATGAATGCACTTTTTTTCTGTGTACCTAACACTATAACAACAAAAGACAAACTGCTATCATGGAACTAAGCAAAAGATATTAGCATACGCATGAAATACACATCAGAAAAAATACCTTCTCTGATAATGTGGTATCCTGGTAGCAAAATATACATAGAAAGAGTAAAATGTCAGAAACCAGTTCAAAACTGTCTCTATTCTAAAATTGGATTTGCTGGTATAATATCAAGATCAAACAAAGTTTCTTATTTACCTTTGATTTCCTTTTCCTGTTCCTCCACTCTTGAACACACTGTTCTCGTAAGACTTTCTACAATGGTGTGCATGAAGTTAAAGTCAGCAACGTTGTAGACATGAGTACTGTCCGGTTCAGAGGCAATCTCTTTGAGTTCATTTATATCTGCATTCTTCACACCTTACAGTGGAGAGACAAAATAAGAAAATGTTTGCAACAAAAGAAATCGGTGTAACGTTTAAGCCATGCAGCCTGGCCAAAGCCTACTGATGTCTATGGAGTCTTTCCCCATTTCACTGGCTTCAGTGTGCTTTAGATCAGGCCTACAGTCAAGCTGTTAATTACAGGTAGTTATAATTAATCACAAGGGTTAATTTCCAGTATTACAAGTGTTACTGACATCTTTGCAATATTCTGATGATAACTAGCATATGTTTATCCTCCTAAAATGCCAGTTACATTAATAGTCAGAGGATACTGAAAAAAGTTAAAATTTTCCAAAGTATTTTTGATGCTTAATCCAGATAGAAACACGATAGGACCCTTATAAATATACTAGATAGTGTGACAAAGTTCCTCCTCTACCTTGGTGGGTCTTGCACTTATTGGCGGATTTGCTCGCCTTGGAGCTTCACAAAGGCCCTCAGTTTGGCCGTTTTCATGAACCCACAGTCCAGGTCAACTCCTCCTGTGTCTGACCTGGAGTTGGGAGGTTTGGGGGGAACCCGGGCCCGCCCTCTACTCTGGGTTACAGCCCAGGGCCCTGTGGAATGCAGCTGTCTAGAGTGCCTCCCGGAACAGCTGTGTGACAGCTACAACTCCCTGGGCTACTTCCCCATGGCCTCCTCTCAACATCTTCTTTATCCTCACCATAGGACCTTCTTCCTGGTGTCTGATAATGCTCGTACTCTTCAGTCCTCCAACAGTATGCGTTCTCGCTCTCAGCTCCTAGCACCTCTTGCTCCCAGCTCCTTACACACGCACCACAAACTGAAATGAGCTCCTTTTTAAACCCAGGTGCCCCGATTAGCCTGCCTTAATTGATTCTAGCAGCTTCTTGATTGGCTGCAGGTGTTCTAATCAGCCTGTCTGTCTTAATTGTCTCCAGAAGGTTCCTGATTGTTCCTGATTGTAACCTTCCCTGTTACCTTACCCAGTGAAAAGGGACCTACTTAACCTGGGGCTAATATATCTGCCTTCTATTACTCTCCTGTAGCCATCTGGCCCGACCCTGTCACAATAGATAGAACAGATCAGAGACTTATAAAAAATAAAATGCAATAAATAGATACGTTAGAATACATACCAATAGCAAACAATTCAACACCAGCATCACGCAGATTTTTAGCAGGTGGGATGACATCATCTTGGGATTTTCCATCTGTGACCAATATACCAATTTTGGACACATTGGGTCTTGCACCTGCTTCAGGCTTAAAGCTGTTCTCCAAAATAAAAGTTAAGGCAAGACCTAAAAAAAATAAAAAATAAAAAAAATGGTTTAGCTAATAAAATTGGCTATGTAACACGGATATTTTTATTGATTTTTTGAAGTTTAATTTTCTATGCAAAGTAAAGAATGCTGAGAAACCTCCTACTGAATAATAACTTATAAAAGAGAACAAACTTTTACTTAAAAATATACTGTTCCAAGCAGGCAGCTTGAATTAAAGGCAGGGCAAAAATGGGAGCAGTCCTCAGCAACCTTCCAATCTATAAAATTATTTACAACAGAGAATAGAAACTTGTTTGAAACTAAACGGGGCTACTGAGCTACTCACATACCTTACCCCACCAGAGAGACAAGGTGGGTGAGGTAATATATTTTACTGGACCAATTTTTGTTGGTGAAAGAGACAAGTTTTCGAGCCACCAGAGCTCTTCTTTTATTGGAGAGAAGTTTGGTCCAATAACAATATTACCTCACCGACCTAGTCTCTCTAATATCCTGGGGCTGATATGGCTACAACTACACTGCATATTACCCCACAAGGGAAGTTAGAGGATTTCATCTATTAGTAAATTTGGGTTCCAATTCAGCAAAGGACTAAAAACATGCTTACCATTAACACTGACTTCTCAAGATTGAAAGCATCAGGACTATTCACATGCTTAAAGTTAAGCACATGCTGAAGTCATTTGCTGAACTGGTATTTCAAAGAGTAACATATACATCCTGTTTAACACACATTTTTAGAAATGCTGGTCAAATTACAGATGATAGTTCTGTAACGAAACTGCCTTTTGTTGGTTTGTCAGCAGAAGTCACTGAAACAGGAAATCAGATTGCTAATTTCAGGCCTGAACCTGAAACCCCTCCCAGGAGTGTTTCTTCAAGTTCCACTGAATACGGAACTGATCCTGAGCAGCTTTCATTGCCCTCAGTTCCCACTGGAGTCTCTGAGAGCTGACAGTGCTAAGTTTTATGGGAGAAATTTACCCCCTGCAGAAATGTTGCATAGAAACCCATTTACCACTTAACTTAGGCCATTAAAATCCAGTTGCTGAGTACAATCTTTTATTTTAAAGCTTTTTACACTCATAAACTGAGGAAAAGCTTAAATTAAGCTAATGGAGAATGTAACGTCAAAAACTGATTATTACTGATTTGGGAGAGGCAACTTGGCTCTAATTTGAAAGTTAAAAGGAAGCCATATAAAAAGAGGTTAGGCAAAAGCCACCTCTAATGTCAGAATATAATCATCGCACTGGATTTATTACTTGCTTCTTGGTATTTCTATCAAGCATCAGTTCAGCTATGGTACCGCAGTATATCCCTTCTGTTCCCAGTCCAACCATAATAATTCCTTCCACCAAAATAGCGATTGGTGGAGGAGAAAAGGGAGAACTTCTAAGCCTCTCTGGAAAAAATAGTTTGGCAATAATTTACTCTTTCAGTCCATTATCCTCCAGACAAGAGAGCCAAGACTATTAAGTGTTGCACTGATGCTATGGGATTCCTCTCCAGAGGATATATATTTTATCATATTGACAAGTATCCCACAGCTATCCACCACTAAATTTCCAAAAAGCCATGCAGGGTTTCAATACCATGAAAGTTAATGGGAGTCTAAAACCCCCAGGTGGTTCTTTGAAAATTTACCACCACCAACAGTCAGATGTTAAAACAACACACTTTCTTTCTCCAACTGAATGAGGTTTTGTGTATGAACAGTGTCAATGGCTTTTGCTGCTCTATCCTCTTTCCAGAATGTAAAAGTGAACTTCCTTTGCTGTTAGTTTTGGCATAGATAGATCATACACACTCAGATTTTGCAGATTGAAGCCTGAGTCAAAGCTCACTAAAGACATGAAGATTCCCATTGACTGCAGCTACTTCAGATCAAGCTCTTAGGCAAACTTCAAAAATAAACAGCACATTCACCTTTAAGAAACAGAACAAACCCCAATACTCTAAGCCAATGCAGCATGGCATATTTTGGAGCATGTGGCTAATGCAAAAATACATACTGTACCTGTTAATGTATTCCCTCCCTTATATGGCAGATTACGGACTGCATCCAAAACAGCATCCTTTGTGCTAAAGGCATTCAGATGCCATTCAATTCGGGGATCCCCACTGTACTGAGCAAGACCTAGTGAACCAGAAATAAATACATTGCATGAGATTCATTTTTTCAAGTATATACACACTAGGCTATCAGTAGTTTGCTACCATAACAGGGCTCTTTTGAACTCTTTAATCTAAAGAAGAATTTATTACTCCCTAAATTGTTCTGGATGCCAACTCCACTATGTATTTTCTAGGTTTTTCTTTCAAGTGCTAAGGAATTTAAGTAAAAGGTAATGTGCATTTTTTTTCAGGCTTTAGTAAGATTCCAAGAACACATTTCATGAAAGAGAACAATTTTATTAAATGCCTCTTTGAACAGGCTAAAATGTAAGTAGCAAAACAGATATGATATATTGTTCAAATCAGTTTTAAACATGATAGAAACCGTCTGTTGGCACTTTCTTCATTTAAAAATTCCACTGTAAGGGCCTGATCTAATGCCAATTGAAGTCAATATGAGTCTTTCTGTTGATTTCAAAAGGCACTAGCTTAGAACCTGAGATGAATATATGGCTATATGTCATCTCAGGAAGAGATGCAGAGATAAAATTTCTAGACACAATAAATGACTGCTTCTTGGAGCAGCTTGTCCTGGAACCCAGAAGGGGAGAGTTAATTCTTGATTTAGTCCTAAGGAGAGCACAGGATCTCATCCAGGAGGCAAATATAGCTGAACCAATCAGTCATAATGACCATAATGTAATTAAATTTAACATCCTTGTAGGGGCAAAAGTAGCATTTAACTTCAAAAATGGGAACTACACAAAAGCGAGGAAGCTAGTTAAATGGAAATGAAAAGGAACAGTTGGAAAGAAGAAATGCTTGCAGACTGCAGGAGCCTACTCACAAACACGATAGTAGAGGTTCAAATTAAATGTATACCCCAAATAAAAAAAACAAACAGCAAGAGGACCAAAAAATGCCATCTTCAGTAACAGGCAAAAAGGCATCCTTTAAAAATTGGAAGTCAAATCCTACTGAGGAAAATAGAAAGGAACATAAACTCTGGCAAGTCAAGTGTAAAAATATAATAGAGTATGTCAAGAAAAAAATTGAAGAGCAACTAGCTAAAGACACAAAAACTAAAACAGCAAAAAAAAAATTAAGCACATCAGAATCAGGAAGCCTCACAAACTATCAGTGGGGTCACTGGCTGCTTGAGGTTCTAAAGGAGACTCAAAGAAGACAAGGCCATTATGGAGTATCTAAATGAATTCTTTGCATTGGTCTTCACTGAGGAGGATGTGGGGAAGATCCCCACGCCCAAGCCATTATTTTTAGGTGACTAATCCGAGGAACTGTCCCAGATTGAGGTGTCAATAGAGAAGGTTTTGGAACAAATTGATAAATAGTATTAAGTCACCAGGGCCAGATGTACCTTGAGAGTTCTGGAGAGTTCTGAAGGAACTCAAATATGAAATTGAAGAACTAACAACTACAGGATGTAACCTATTACTTAAATCAACCTATGAATGAAATGACTAGAGGGTAACTAATGTAATGCCAATTTTAAAAAATGCTCCAGGGGGCAATCCTGGCAATTACAAGGCAGTAAGCCTAACTTCAGTACCAGGCAAATTGCTTGAAACTATAGTAAGGCACAGAATTATTAGATTCATATGTGATATGGTTGGGGAAAAGTCAACACAGCTTTTGTAAAGGGAAATCATGCCTCACCAATCTATTAGAATGTCATGAGGGGGTCAACAAATGTGGACAAAAGTGATCCAGTCGATACAGTGTACTTGGACTTTCAAACAGCCTTTGGCAATGTTCCTCACCAGGGGCTTTTAAGCTAACTAAGCTGTCATGGGATAATAGGGAAAGTCCTCTTCTGGATCAGTCGCAGATAGGAATCAGAGGGTATGAATAAATGGTCAGTTTTCACAGTGGAGAGAGGCAAATAGCAGGGTCCTCACAGGATCTGTATTAGAGCCTGTGCTGTTCAACATATTCATAAATAATCTAGAAAAAGAGGGGAACAGTGTGGTGGCAAAATTTGCAGAAAGTACAAAATTACTCAAAATTGTAGTCAGCTTTGTACTTAACTAAGACATACAAAGGGATCTCACAAAACTAGATGACTTGTCCCCCCCCAGTCATCTAGTTTTGTGAGATCGGTTAGTATGTCTTTACAGATGACAAATGAAATTCAATGTCGGTAAATGCAAAGTAATGCACATTGGAAAAAAATAATCCCATTTATACATACAAAAATATGGTTTCTAAATTAGCTGTTACCAATCAAAAAAAGAGATCTTGGAATCATCATGGATAGTTCTCTGAAAACATCCACTCAATGTGCAGCAGCAATCAAAAGAACAGATACTCAGAATGGGATATATAAGAAGACAGAAAATATCATAATGCCATGGTACATATAAATCCATGGTACACCCACATCTTGAATATTGCATACAGTTCTGGTTGCCTCATCTCAAAAAAGATGTATTAGAATTGGAAAAGGGTACAGAAAAGGGTAATAAAAATTATTAGTGGTCTGGAACACTTCCATATGAAGACAGATTATAAAAACTGGGAGTGCTCAATTTAGAAAAAGAGACAAAATATGGTAGAAGTATGTAAAAATCATGAATGGTATGAAGAAAAAAAAATGTTGTTTCCCCTCCACATAAGATCACACTGGGTGTCATCCAATGACATTAATAGGCATCAGGTTTAAAACAAGCATAAGGAAGTACTTCTTCACAAAACGCACAGTCAGCTTGTGGAACTTGTTGCCAGGGGATGTTGTGAAGGACAAAACTATAATTGGATAAGTTAATTGAGGATAGGTCCATCAATGGCTATTAGCCAAGATGGTCAGGGATGCAACTCTATGCTCCTGATGTTCCTAAACCTCCAACTGCCAGAAGCTGGGACTAGACAAAAGGGGATGGATCATGCAAAATTGCTGTTCTGTTCATTCCTGCTGAAGCATCTGGCAGCGGTCACTGTCAGAAGACAGGATACTGGGCTACATAGACCATTGGTCTAACCTCGCATGGCCATTTTTATGTTCTTATGAATATCACAGTTCATTATGAGAAATATCTTGTGTACAACGATTGGATCCAAACTTACAAGCTTTTCATTCATGTTACTCCCATTGATTTAAATGGAAATTCCGTGTGTACAGTGCTTTCAGGATCACATCCTAATATTTTTATTCATGACAAATAAAGAGGATGATGTATGTTGTACAGCTATGTAGGGATTAAGTTCATTAATCACTACCTTGGAAATCAAAGGTTTATTGTTGTTTTCTTTTTTGTTTGTTTTAATTCAACTGTGAATTTACATAATTTTCTTTAGAAACCTTACCTATTCTTGTTTTCTCAGAACCCACATTGAAGGCACCAACCAGATTTTCCAGGAAAAGCCGGACAAGTCTGAAGTTGTATCTGCCAATACTCCATGAGCCATCTATCAGGATCACAATGTCTGCAATTGCTGGAGTTTTACATGTAAACTGACTTTCTGTAAATCATAAAATGGAAAATAAATTTAATCACAATGATACTGGAGCAATTAAAAGTTTCCGGGATTTTTCCTTTTAAGTTTAATACTCAAGAGACAATATAGTCTTTTACAGACCATAAAAATGATGGTGAGCTAAGGTATTAAAAATAAATACATTAATAAGATATTATCAATATGTTCTAGACTCTTATTTGGTTGTGTAAAATTAATTTTAGAAAAAGTATTCATTACTTAAAAACACAGTGAAGACAAAAGCATAAACTGCTATATTGGTAGACTAGCATCAAATGGCAGCTCATGTTTACATTTTAATTCCTGGGGATATATGCACTTGGCTTCTAGAATGCAATAGACCATAGATTATGTTTTAATCTACAGTGAAAGGCTCTGTCAGCAGGGAAAGGCTCAAGCACAGAGGAGGAAGTGGGGATGCTGCTGGAGCTTTTCACTAGAGATACTACACGTGTAGCTACCCAAGCACACTGTACTCTACATGCCACCATGAGTGTAGACATAGCCATTGATAAAAGAACCTGTGTCTCTGCACTTGGGAGAGAGGCTAAGTAGACAGAAAGATGAGTGTTCACTTGGCTTGATAGACAATAAGCTCTGATTTGCATCACCTGTTTCCCCAGGAGCCGCAAGGTGAACTTGAGATCACAAAGGGTATTCAAACATCAGAATGAGTAGTGCAGAAAGAGATATGAGTGGAGAGGGATACAAATTGCTCAAGTGCTGAGAAAAGGATAGAGTTGTTAAAATGAGGGATTAATAAGAGAGAAGACTCAGTGAGAGAAGACGGGGTGCACATATTGGCCCTCTCAAATGCTCATATAACACTGAATGGGATTACAGACCATGTGGTCAGCAGCTTAAAACAACACTAACACCGTAACATTAATGTCACTAGAATGATTATCTTAAATAGAAATACAATCTGATGTGCAGAAGGACTAAGAGCAGTAGCCACAGTCACAAACTTTTTTAACTGGACAGAATTAGTCAAGTTCTTTCTTTCAAATTTGATATAACCACAGTGGATGGCAAACCCAGCCCATAAAGAAAAGGAGTACTTGTGGCACCTTAGAGACTAAGGTGCCACAAATACTCCTTTTCTTTTTGCGAATACAGACTAACACAGCTGCTACTCTGAAACCAGTCCATAAAGTTAACGTTAATTCACTAGAAGTATTTTATAAGGATTAGGGTGTTTTTCCTACATACAGTTAGCAGTGTAGAATGAGTTATGAACACGTGGCAAAATTCCACTTTTGAAAGTGCCAAAACAAAGCCTTTACCTCAGATTTTTACAGTACAAGACAACAGTATTTGAATTGGCAACATATTTTAGTGTATAAACACTAGAAAAACATTAAGTAAGTATCAAGAATGTGAGCATATTGGAAAAGTGAGCATAAACTGGAAGATAACTTCAAACAAAGCTCCCAATCCTTCTGACATTGAAATCAATGGAAAAGTTTCCATTGATTTCTGTGGGATTAGGATTTGATTTTTCATTACTGAACTGCAGCTGATATCTGCCACAGCATGCTCTAAACATACATATGTTTGCCCAGTTATGTTTCCTGTTGATCAATTTGCATGCCTTGCCTTGTCACTAAAATGAGGATCAGCTTTACCATCCTTACATTGCATAGTACATTATGCTCCATTAGTTTCAACAGGACTATTGGCAGAGTAAAATGCTACTCAAACCAAGTGAGGATGGAAGAACTGGTCCCTGGGTTTGCATCCAAGTAGTTACACTGCAGCACAGATGTGACTTTTCAGTGTGATCCACGGAGGTTTATCCATACCACACAATTAGGATAATAAGATTTGTGTGGCTAAAGTCCCTTTCACCACTTTTAAAACTTAGGGTATTAATGGTTTCAGAATCAACCTATTTCTCACTTCTTACACATGAACAAGTTTTTTAATGATGCCTTTTCAACCCTGTAGTTATTACTTTGCCAAAAAAACAAACAAACAAAAACCCAACCCTTTAATTGGAGTAGGTAATTTCATTTACAGCAGCAAAGGAGGTAAAGAAAACAAAAAACACATTCTTTCAATATTTTATTTCCATATAATCAGACCAGTGTAAATAGCTGTATCAAAATAATCATTTGTGATTTGATCCAAGATTGTATTGAAATGCCACAGAATGTGAAAATATAGTTCACTCTTCATAGCTGGGATGCACTTGTGGAAATCTTTTCTGCATAAAACATTTAGCTTTTGTTACTTCTGTACACCCACTATTTGTTTATGTTTTCTCCAGTTCAACTTAATAGAAATTGTAGAAACTTCCCTAAAATGGAATAAACAATAGTGAGACATTAAAAGCAGTCTTTACAATTTGACAGGAATACAAACTCAACATCATCCTACTTACAGTGTTATTGTGAAAGATCGTGAGATCAAATACATTTATTCTTCCCTCTAACCAAAACACAAGATTTAGTCTTTCTAAACAAAAAAAAAAATTCCCTGATTTTTAAGCCAAACTCATGATTTGGGGGAGGGGGGCTCTGGCTCATGACTTTTGAATACTTGGGGGTGTCAAGGTTGATATTTTCTGGGTCTTCATGGGCACAGGGGTAGAGAGAGAGGAAGAGGTTGCACATGGACATAAGCAACACCACATGGAAAGAGGCCGAATCTCAGAAAGAGTGGTCTAATTTGCACCTAGTTTCAGATGTAGTTTGCAGAATGACATGTGATGTTTTACCTCCCTGTGACTTGGCACTTTGCTCTGCATTTCAAGAGCCAAAACACATGGTTCTTTTTCTGCTAGGAGTTGGGGTTATAACTCTTTCTGAGGCTGCACTATGTCATTTCCTTTCTTATTCGCTGTCACAGTGGGAAAGTAGAATAATATATCAGGAAGAGGAGGGATGGAGAGTTTAAGCAGATGGCAGTGATTGTACAATATGAATGGAAAAACCAAGATAGCTTAGTTCATAGGGTAACAAAGTATGAAAGGAAAGAAATTTGATGACAGATGTGAATGAAATGTACGATGAGAATAGAGTAAGGATGAAATATGGAATTCAGTCCAGCACAGTATGATTTTATAAATATATGTATGTATGTGTGTGTGTGTGTGCGTGCGTGTGTGTGAGAGAGACATGATGGACAAGGATCTATTAATTATTATTACAACACTATGATGTCAATATCTTTGCACTGAGATCAGAGTCTTATACACCACATATATTAAGGCAGGGACCAACCAGATGCATAAAACATGGCTGACCTTTCATTGAACCAAATATAAACATTGCTTGAATTTGAAGGACTTAAATGTTGGAACATCATCATGTTGTGAGATCAGCCCAGCAAGCTCAGGAGCTCATCCCTGAACCACAGGCGAATATGAGGCCAGCCCTTTCCCATGCATCTGTGTCTGTCCCAGAAAATTCTTTTAGTTCAAGTAGCGGAAAAACAAATTCTGTGGGCACTTGGTTTTGTTTCCCAAGTGCAAAGACACATCTTAATATCCAAACCACACACAATCAGCAAATTCAATAATCCTTAAAAGGGAGAAAAAAAACAAAGGTTATTTCAGGGATAATGCTAAACTGGAAGTTTTTAATAAAAGTTATAGCCAGAAACCCAGAAACTTGATTAAATATATTTGGTGACTACTCTTCAGATCTGCAGCAGACAGTCAGCAATTCTTTTTAACCATCCTTCTTCAAAATCAAATGGTATTACAAAACAAACCAAATGTACTTTTAAAGCAATCAATAGATCTATTTAGTTTACAAAATATTTAGGATTCTTTCCTATATCCTAACAAGAATTACTGAATGTACATTTACTTGAGAGATGGGTTAAAATAACTGGTGTTTCCTGGTTGAATCGTAGCCCTACTGGCCATGTAGTATTCCCTGTGTGAAGTGCATGAAACTTGAGAAACTCTTTCACAGATTGCAGGGATAGTTCTATTTCTCTTCACTCTTTGGTACTGTATTTGAGTGTGCTGATGTTTTAAATGCAACAGCTGTTCTGAGGATTAACAAACAACTTTTCAACAAATCAGATTGTAAATTTTATTTATATGGACGCATTTACTCATCATTTCAGTACAACAAATATGCTACTATTTAAGAAACACATCTTAATCATGCTCTTCAGGGAATTAGACATGCTACTCAATTATAATTCAAGACTGTTGAGTGTCAGGTTCTCTCAAAACTGCCTCGAATGGTTACTCCCAGATATTAACACAAAACATTCTCACAAGGTTGATATGTCATTAAGCCACAGGAAGAGACATGGGCCATATTGTGCCATAAATTTTTCAATGGAACTCAGTGGAGGATTGTGTTGAAAGAATCATGTCAGCATATGGTTCATGAGAAGGAAATGTTTTTTAAATACCAGTAAAGCACATCATTAGTCCCTTGATCACATTACATGATTTACTGTATATTATTTGCTAGAAAATATTTACGTGTTTAAACAAAATTTATGAGCATATATAATATATGCAGCCATATTTTCAGAATTATTAATTTTGGGTGCTATGAGGTTTGCGTGTCCAACTTACAAAACCTTGAGTGACATGCTGGCTTCACTGAAGTCAAAGAGAGTTTTGTTTTTGACTTCAATACGGCCAGGATTTCACTATGTGCGTCGGATCTGTAGAGATGCTGAAGTCAATGGGAGCATTGGATCAGCAACACTCCTGAAAATAAGGCATTAGGTGGCTCACATTGGTGTTTGCAAAGTACTTTGAGACCCTGACTGAAAGATGCCATGAGACTGACCTGGCAGTCTTTACTCCTATACTTCCACTGAATTCCAAAGAATGATACTAGACAGGTATGACCGTGCGTACCATGATTTTCACCCTTTTTATAAGACTGTGATAAATTTTGTACAAGGTGTGCCCTGTGAGGTATTGTTTGAAAAACCTCAGTCTGATGAACATTATTATTCTGATGAAATGTGTGTGGCAACACTGTATGTACAGTTATAAGATT